TTTGCTTAATCAGTTGAACCTAATTCTTTATAATATAATAACACATATGCATCATTGCATGTAGGCTATATGAAATTGCGGTTGCAGCTATACATACGGTAGCTATTATATCCTGTATTATCATAGTTATAATTCAACAAGTCTTACTGATTTCTGCGCGAGTTTACTGACTAGAACTGGCCAGCCAAATAGAATGTATACCTAAAATCAAGAGACCGCAAACATGCAGTACACGAAATCTTTTTGTTTTAAAATCAGTTTGCAAACGAACGCCAAAGCTAGCGCAAATTTGTGTTTATATTATAAAGACCAATTTAGCTGAGACTCTTGTGTTCAGAAAGATGCAGTCATCTTTTGCTGACAGGTTAAGAAGATGTCAAGTCATCTTTGCTTAATCAGTTGAACCTAATTCTTTATAATATAATAACACATCCTATATTATGCATGAATCAAATGTTGCATGTAGGCTATATGAAATTGCGGTTGCAGCTATACATACGGTAGCTATTATATCCTGTATATCATAGTTATAATTCAACAAGTCTTATTTCTGCGCGAATTTACTGACTAGAACTGGCCAGCCAAATAGAATGTATACATGTAGCTATATCAAGAGACCGCAAACAGTACATGAAATCTTTTTGTTTTAAAATCAGTTTGCAAACGCCAAAGCTAGCGCAAATTTGTGATTATACTATAAAGATCAATTTAGCGGAAACTCTTGTGCAGGTTAAGAAGATGTAGTCATCTTTGCTTAATCAGTTGAACCTAAATTTTTATAATGAAAACACATCCTATTATGTATGAATCATTGTATGCCATATTGCAGTTGCAGCTACATACGGTAGCTATATATTTTTAGGTCTGTATTATCATAGTTATAATTCAACAAGCCTTATATTTCTGCGCGAATTGCACTGACTAGAACTGGCCATGCAGCCAAATAGAATGTAGGCCTATAGCTATATCAAGAGACCGCAAACAGTACACGAAGTCTTTTTGTTTTATAATCAGTTTGCAAACGTCAAAGCTAGCGCAAATTTGTGTTTATATTATAAAGACCAATTTAGTGGAAACTCTTGTGTTCAGAAAGATGCAGTCATCTTTTGCTGACAGGTTAAGAAGATGTAGTCATCTTTGCTTAATCAGTTGAACCTAATTCTTTATAATATAGTAACACATCCTATATTATGCATGAATCAAATGTTGCATGTAGGCTATATAAAATTGCGGTTGCAGCTATACATACGGTAGCTATTATATCCTGTATTATCATGGTTATAATTCGACAAGTCTTATTTCTGCGCGAATTTACTGACTAGAACTGGCCAGCCAAATAGAATGTATAGCTAAATCTAGAGACCGCAAACATGCAGTACACGAAATATTTTTGTTTTAAAAGCAGTATGCAAACGCCAAAGCTAGCGCAAATTTGTGTTTATATTATAAAGACCAATTTAGGGGAGACTCTTGTGTTCAGAAAGATGCAATCATCTTTTGCTGACAGGTTAAGAAGATGTAGTCATCTTTGCTTAATCAGTTGAACCTAAATTTTTATAATGAAAACACATTCCGGTATGCCACGTACGAGTTCTATGCGTGGCATTGGTATATATGCAGATATTCATAACTCATTAAGCCTTTCTGCGCGAGTTGCAACTACATGTCATGGCTATTTTCATTTAGAATCTAACCAAATAAAACATATATGGGATATAGCTGAATACCCTCACGTGTACAGGCTTCTGTAAGGAAATGTAAGCAATTGTATTGCATTTCACGGGATTTCACAAGACTAGTAACTTATTTCTAAATATTGAACTAAACGCCACATGCTAATTTTCATATACCCCCTGCGAACAGAACCAGATTGATGACAGTTTTGCTTATTAATTTTATTGGAATTAGACATAATTGCATCCGGCGAACTGCACAAATTTTGTGCAGTTGACACCTTTTTTCGGCCGTGCGGATTCTCATGTGTGGAGCGAACTCAACCTCGCAAGTCAGGCTCTCTACTTCCGCTTCCCTCCCAAACACGCTCCAGCAAAGGTGTATGCTGGTCACGTGACACCACAAGTCACTTTATTGCGAGGGAGAGTAGGCTGAAATATGTGAAATGCCAAGTCGAGTTTCTAGGAGTGTTTATTTCGAATATCGGATTGATGAAAATGTATGATTTACTTTAGTTGTTTAAACCAAGAGCGATATAATATAAAAACAATAAAAACAGGCCGCTTTAAAAACAAGCCTATAAAAACAAGCCGCTTTAATGACTGATTCCGCTTTAAAACAAATCCTAAATTTACCGCTTTTAGTTTTAAAAACATAAAACGAACTACAAACATAATTAATGTAATTCTCGGGCGAATCTATAACAAACAGCACGCTAACTCGAATGGATACAATATGACATTATGTAGTAACTGGCCAGACAAGTAACAACGCTAACAAACATGAATTACTAGAAAATACATGCATGCAGAAACCCTCGCCTTGCTGACAAAACCATTGTATTTTCCGAACATGAAGTATCTAAGTTGTCATGGTAACACGATAATTTTTTAAGAATATTCTTACAAATGAAAAATCGCCTATAAATATCACTTTTAATCACAAAATTATTAATTTCCCAACATATATATGTTAGGTATGTTATTATACGTAATATAAGTCTCGATTTAAGGTAAAATTCAACCACAAACACTTCGCAAAGCGTTTTAAAGTCATTAGTGTTCTTTAATATAAAACTAAACTGCCTTTTAAAATGGCTTTATCGATAAACTTTGAGTTTCCAATAAAATGATTTAAAATTCTCGCTTGCAAATAACTTTGCTTTCTTATTTATTTAAAAAATTCAATATCATAAAAAAGGGAATCAATATTAAAGATACACTGAAATTATATGCTGTCTTGTTTAGTTGTTTCATATACGCAAAGGCTGTCGGGTTTTAAACCATTATAAAATCAATATTTAAAACAAACTTACCTTCGTTAACGTCGGCTCCCTTCTTTTAGCCGATTCTTTCGCAGTTCCTTTCTCAGAGAGCTTTTGAAATTTACAAAATCTTGCAAAAATGCGAGCAAAAATGAAATATATTTGCAAGAAATTTAACAATCATCAAATCAACTCAAGAAATGTTTGCTATTTCGCTGTCGTCATGCAGTCGTTATAATGCAAACTTTAAATTGGACCAATCAGTGTCCGCTATTCGTGACAGTCCGCCATATTTTTGAGATCAGTGAGGATGACCACCCACCCAGCACCGTTGGTGACCCACGCCCGCGATATTTGATGAACTTTAGACTCCGCTAATGCTTTCGTTTCCCCGGGTGTAAATATCCGGGGGGAATTAGTACCCTCGCACGGCGCTTCGCGCCGTCGGTTCGGGGATTAAACGTAAATTTACAATTGACATTTTATATTATAGCCTATACAGTGTCTCAAAAAAGTAACCCTTTGAAATCAAGCCTTTGTTAGAATTTGAATTCCTTATTACTATGCTGAACCCTCGCCTGTGCGTAAAAAAGTATACCTAGTCTTCTTTAGGGGCGGACCATTAGAAAATGGGGAGGGGGGGTGGCAATTTCAGAAAAAAAAATCGTGCAAGGTCAGTTCAGAGGAAAAAAAAATCTTGCAGAAACCCAGCGTGGGAAAAAAATATCTTGCAAGTTATTAGACCAACATATATTTAGGTAAAGTTATAAACCTCAGAGAATAGTAAATCAATGGAAATATATAAACGTAAAAAATTATACATAATGTAGACTGTAGTTATATTAAACATACACATCTCAGTCTAAAATATTTAGTTGTACTGTCTTAAAATAACCTGTATTTAAAATATAAAGTTGATTTATATACAAACACTATATATTAACAAATAACAACATAAAATAACAAAAACAAAAAACTTTCACCATGTTATCAGTATCAGTTGAATATAAATGTTATCTTCCTTTTAATATCACAGCATGTTTATATTAAAAAAAAAATCGTGCAACACAAGCATGGCTGAAAAAAAAGATCTTGCACAACGTTGTTGCAAAAAAAAATATCCTGCCCGAAAAAATTGCCACCCCCCCCCCCTCCCCCATTTTCTAATGGTCCGCCCCTTAGTACAATTGAGACTTCATAAAGTTAAGTAATTCAGGTTAAGTACAAGATCTTCTACTGCTGGGCATTTAAAATAACTTCTAATCGTATGAATTAAAGAGTACACTGCATAAAAAATCGAGTAAAAAATTATCAAATTACTAATTAGTCATATCACTTCTATTCTGTTAATTTACTCACCCGTTGGTTCAGCATAGTAATATATATGGCATCCATATTCCAACAAATGCTTGATTTCAAGGGGTACACTTTTTTGAGACACTCTGTGGTATACCCCGCTAATTTTAATTTGACCACGCTCTTAGCATAATGAAACATATTGCGGAATTAAACAACAATACCTCAATACTTAAAATTTGCTTTAATAATTATTAAGTCCTTTAACGGAAGATTTTCACGCGAATATTAAGAGGTATGTTACTTTCAATGATCCGAAGGATACAGGTTCACGGGGAAACGTCAAAAACGTCAAAAACGTCAAACATTAAACATTGTATTGCTTCTATAACTATTCAGCAACTTTATTCTCGACTTGGTGGGTTCTTTAGGTTCTTGGGGTTCTGAGTGATGATATTTCCCTTGGGCCAACGCCCCTTGGAAAATATCATCACTTCGGGTAATATTTCGCCAAATCCCCCGAGGGGTCTATAAATGATAAATACGTGATAGGATATACGATACATAGAGGACTAGGATAACCGACTTGTTTTATTTTACAAATTTTCTGGTACATGCATGCATATGCAGAAGAAAATTGAAAATTGACATTTTTAAAGAGTCGGCCAGGACCTTGATTTTTCTTTTTTATCTACACATATTACGAAGTGCAATTACCATATATTGACGATAAAAAAACGTTTTAAACCACATAGGTACTATACACTGTGTCATGTAAGTATACAGGGTGTATAAAAAAGGAGACCCTTAGAAATCAAGTATATTGTTCAAATTTGAATGCCTTTCAGTTGCACATATGCTGAACCGTGGTGGGCGAAATATTGATGAGTGCATATACTAGAAAAAGGAGACCTTTAGAAATCAACCATATTTATAATTTGAATCCAGGAGCACTTTGCTTAGCCCAAGAGTGCATAACATGCGATCTACGTACAGTATGCATGGCAGATTGTCCCCAGGAGCAGATAATCTTTTGTTTAAACGTTATTTCAATTTCTACAGGTCTCCTTTTTCTAATATATCCACCCCATCAATATTTCACGCACTATGGTTCAGCATATGTGCAATTGAAAAGGCATTCAAACTTTAACAATATGGTTGATTTCTAAAGGTCTCCTTTTTTTATACACCCTGTATATCAATACAAAATATTGATAAGATCTTCTAATGGTAACCACGTTGGAAGAAAATACGCTCCAACTAAAATAGTTTGTTATGAATATTCTTCCAACATGACCGCCGTGATGTTATGAATGCCGGTTCTACAAAATAATTCCATAAATGTGGGTAAAGTAAGCACCGGAGATTTAACGAGAAAATATTTTATATCACGATTCGAATTACTCCCCCCACGAATATAAAAAGGGAATCAATATCCTTCACGCATACTATATAATTTTGTTTATTAATTTCTAGAAACCTCCAGAACCAGTCTCAACAAGCACTCCGCCTCAGATAACATCGACAACACAAAAACCAGCATCAAGTAAGGTTTAAAATCATAATTATATTATAACTACACGCCCGACAATGATTCATTACAGTATACCGGGTTGGCCTAATTTAACCAACAATCTTAATATTTATACTAGGCAATATTAAAAAGTTACGTCAGGTTAATAGTTAAGAGAATTGCATTTTACTCAATATTTAGCAAATCAAGAACTGTTATCATCTTGTAAGGAACTACTGCAAAGAAACAGGTTTGTGAGTCACCAACGTTGAAGATTTTGTATGAATGGAAATTTCGAGTGTAAATTTTATACATCTAGTTAGACCTAACCAGGAGCAGCTGCAGCAAATAAAACTATATAGGCCCACTAGCAGGAATCCACCCTGCGTCCTTGCGATTTCGGTGCAGCGCTCAAACCAACTGAGCTGCAGAGTCCAGTACCATTATTATGTGACATAACGAACCCTTAATGAAAAGCATTCGAATAGAAATGTCGTGGTATTGTTGATGTCTCAACATTCCAAAGAGACATTAAAAGGAAAAACAGTTTAAACCAAACTGATAAAACTATTCAATATAATGAAGAAGTTAGTTTAATCAAACTATGCTTTTATATCCTCTACACCATTAAGTAAATAAACAAAAGAATCAGTAATTTTTACTGGCTTATTGGAAATATGGTGCAAATACCTTACCTTAAAACTTCTGACTAAAGTTTACACGATGTTACAATGTGGTCTTGCTAATATTCACAAAATTACTTCGTACTATTTATACTAATAGGTCACTAAACAATGGTGTTTACCAACTACAAAATACAGGTTCACTCGAACAATATCAAGTTTACTGTCACATGACTGAATTATCTGGATGTGGCCAAGGAGGTTGGACACTAGTGATGAAAATGGATGGGAACAAGGTACGAATAATCTTAGCCTAACATAATCTCTTTGAATGTTCAAACATGACAAGCAATAACATAGAAAAAATGGGTACACCTTTTGCTTTGCAGAATGAATTCAACTACAGCTCTCCTTACTGGACAAACAAAGAAACGTACGCAGTTGAAGATGGACTTGAAGGTTTGAACGAAAAACAGGCAAAACTTGCTTCTTACTGGAACACACCGTTTAACAAAATATGCCTCGGAATGAAAGTCAATGGTGCTACAAAATGGATAGCGTTAAACTACACCACAAACTCGTTACACAGTGTGATCGAAGACGGGACTTTTAAAGGAACAACCTTTGGAAAGGAAGGATGGAAATCTCTCATCGATGGTTCGTCTCTGCAAGATTACTGTAATGTAGAAGGATTTAATATACAAAAAAATTTCGCGGTTTACCAGTGGCGGTGGTACATGAACATACGAATTGGTTTGGTGGCAAATGAACAGAACATCTGCAATAGTTGCGATTCGTGCATTGGTTTTGGAACTTCAGTAAGTGGATGCGGGGATGATGTAAGGAGCACAACGTGCGGCAATATGGCTGTTTGTGATCAACTGAATAATATGAACACGGCAGCATTTGGATATATACTCGTACAATAGTATTTGCAACGATTATATAGGAACTAGCTGACGCAGATGCAAAAACTGTAGTAGTTATTGTAGTAAGTATACGAAACGTTTGTTTTGATTGAACATAGTATAAAGCCAGTTTTCCACTTCGCCCGTATCGTACCGAAACGTACTGGTGAGCATGCGTAGATTGAAAAGAGGTTTATAAATCCACGTAGTTCCGGGTGTATTCGCGTATCAAAATAAAAAGTTCGTCGCAAGTCAACCGTTCAACAGTCGCGAAATTTTGAAATTTAAAAACGTTTTTGATATGTTTCGGTACGGTACGCTTAAAGTTGAAAACCGGATTAACTCTCTATCATGCATTATAATTATATAACGCATAAAAAATGTACATTATTGAAAATTAAATGGCTGCCAGCGAGGCTGCCGGCTCAAGGTTTGCTCGAGACGATGAGGAAGAAATTAATCAGATTATAGAGGATGCAATACCTAAAAGTACGAAAAGACAAACAAGCTGAAGCACTGCTATCTTCAGAGGTCAGTAAACCAAGCAAAAACTTATATTATTCGCCATTTTTCCGTGTGTAAAGAAGTGCTCGAAAAGTTCAATTTTTTGCTTGTTGTTGCATTCCTTGTCTGGCATGCAATTTGCAGGCTTCTCGGTGAGTTTTTACATTAATTATAAACTGCTATTGTTAAACATTGTCTTTTTCACTGATGTTAATAAATGTTGTCTTGAACTGCAATTGTTTTCTTTTATTTTGTGGGCAAAAAGCGTGCTGCATTTGCATGCAAACAGTGAAGTCAGATTATATATTAAATGGGTTCTCTAGACTGTAAAGTTCGTGTTTTGTTTACAAATATACGCATTTGCTGATCATACAATGAACTCGAAATTTTCAATACTGCACTCGGATTCGCCTCGTGCAGTATTGAAATTTCTCGTTCATTGTACGATCAGCGCGTGCGTATATTTGTAAACAAAACACTAACAGCAGTCTCTAACCCTTAAATAGGGGGTAGCAAATCTTCGAGTTAAGCCCCTCGAGTTAAGCCCTTCGAGTTAAGCCCCGACCACGCCCTTTCGAGTTAAGCCCCGACCACGCCCATGCCACATCCATTTCCGCTGAGGGCTTAACTCGAAGTACATAACTGGAGTTAGGTACTTCGAGTTAAGCCCTGTAGAAAATAGGGGCTTAACTCGAGCAAAGTCAAACATTTTGTTCTTCGAGTTAAGCCGCAACGTTTGAAAGATGTAAACGAGTTACGGTTAGTCCAAACAAATTAAATTATCATTTGGATCTCGTTTCGTTCATTCACGGTTCAATACGTTTTATTTCAGCCGACGTATTATATATATTATTGACTTTAAGATTGACGTTTACGGCAAACCGCTAACCGGCAAACTTCAAATCGTAATTTAAAGTCAACTGTTAGCTGTTCGAAATTGGAGCAACTTGTGCATAAAAATTGGACTATGATTTAGCTACTTTTAGCTAACAAAGGAATAAAGATCGACTTTTTCTGCCGTAAAGGTCAATCTTAAAATATTATCAAATTGTATGCCGGTGTCCAAAAAAACACCGGACTCTGTTTGATTTCATGTAATGTAAAAGCTATCGCAGATTCGCAATGAAATAAAGATCATTGCATTCATAATGGCTAACTTAGATTTTGATTAGCAATTTATAATCACGAACGTGTCATTTTAAAAATGAGCTCAGGGCTGGTTTACAAGACGTTTATGATAATTATGCATACGCAGGTATTTTATTGAAGTTCAATTCATCAACTTAAGTCCTAAAGAGTAAAGGGAGTTAATTTTCAATAGTTTTAGACCCAATTCTCAACGGTGGAAATATGCACTTTCACATTATATGGTTGTTACAACTATTCAAGTCTTCATTATATAGAACGATTTCATTAGACTGCACACATTTCAAAACAAAAATGGTCGCAAAATGTCGATCGCCCCACAAGTTGCGAAATGCAACAGCTGGGCATTTTGTACGGAGCATGCGCGAAAAAATCAATATGGCGACATATTTATAGGAGTGCTTCGTGGATTTATCTGGTTTTAAAGCTGATAAAACAACATTTCAATGAATAAAAACTTTGTAATATTTAGTGGAAAACATTAAGCTATGCAGTCCAAAGGTTTTAAATTAAAAATAAGTACTTTTGCGTTATTTTATTGCTTTTTATGCTTTCAAAATAGGCAAGCTCATTTTTTTTGAAAGAATCTAAACTAATATTTTACCCATCATTTGTTTAATCTGAACAGAAATTGATAGAACACTTGGCTACATAAGTTATAAAAGGAATTGGTAGCTGATCTGAAAGATTTCAGTATTCCTGGTACACATTTTAGCAAAGAATGACTGTAATTTTAAAAATTAAATATGCATATCAAAAACAATAGTTTTTATTAGAACAACACATAATAAGTTGTTATTTCCTATTTTTACAAAAACAAGTTTGGAAACAGAATCTAGTCGTCCAGTTTGATGTCATATTCCATTTATTTGGATATTTGAATAAAGGAATGTGAAATAATAATTGAAACTTGTCCAAAATTTGATACCAACACTCAAGTGAACAGATACTATCACCTAAAAATAGTCAGAAAATTTGTCATATAATGCTATGAAAAAGTCTTAGATACTACAGGCATATAGTGAGCACAATGCTTTAACAAACTCAATAAAATAAGTTAAGTTATGCTATGATAAGAGGATGGCAATATATGACAACATCAAATGTTACCATCTTCAGTGTCCAAAAAAAGTGCCGCGCGCATTTTTCCCAGCATACCCACTAACTTTTCCATGAAGGTTGACTAATAAGGATAGTTTTAAGCCATATTTCGGAGAGAGGCAATGGTAAAAAGTTTAAGATATTTTTATTTATATGCCATATCACCACAGAATTTCACAAAGCAAGCATGCCTATATTCAGGATTGCCGTTAGACTCTTAAAACTGAACAAATCAATACGGCACTTCCTATCTCATAACAACCAATACTTGAACATTTTCAAAAGCATTTTTGCAGCAATTTTTACTTTATAACAAACCAATACAGGAGCAATTTCATAAGCATGTGACAACATGACATTTTCACTTCACAAGTGGATTTGTCAATTACAACATCTAGCACATTTTTCCCATGAATAGCTCAGGTTTTAATAAAACAAAGTATGATTTAACTTTCATAAAATACATTTTCTAACTGAAGGCAACGGCCAGTTTTTACGAAATTGCAAGAGGAATATGTGTCATTTTCATCAAAATATGTATTTTAAGACACTTATTATTCCAGATGAGGAAGGACAAACAAATTATTGAACATACCTGTGGAAACAACAACAACTCAGCTTCAATCAAGAGTAAAATATGAACACTTCCTTGTTTCCATACTGCTGTACCCTGCTTCTGAAACTCTGACAATGAGTGAAACATTTCCACTTGTCGCCCATTTGTAAATAAAAATTCTTCGCACGTTTTCATGCGATTAAGTCGTTATATCGTTGCGTACAAGCACTACAACTTAATCTTTCAAAAAACACTTTATTTTCCATGAACAAACCAGTAAAAGAGGACAAAAAATCCTCTCACAATGCATATTTTCAGCGTTCGAAGAATCAAAATGTTTGTTAAAGAAATGCGCCCGCAATATTTAGACAGCGACAACAGAATGCCCAGCTGTTGCGAAATGCAAATCTACCTTAAAATACCGGGTGTCCCCCAATAAAACTGGAAACTATTTGATTTCATGTAACGTAAAAGCTATAAAAGCGATAATGCATTCAGAAATGACTAACTTCGATTTTGATATATAGCACTTGAATTTACATGCAATATTGACTGCGCTATTGATGTTTGAACGTTGAACTACTGTTTTTGAAAATTCAAAAAATTAGCATAAAACATTAACACTTATAATTATAACTACTGATGTAGAGGGTGTATCAATAAAAACGTAACCTCGGAATTTCCTAAGAAATCACTTCGCAATTCTTAAGCATAAAAGATTTTAGGCCCCTGGGAATTGAAATCGAATTGCTAATAGATCATATTACTGTTGTTGTGCATTAAATAAATGCATAAATTTTGCTTTATGCACTCGCGTGTGCAGTAATTTTGACAGTTATGCTATTTTAAATTCCCAGGCGCCTTAAATCTTTTGTCTTTAAAACAATGTCGATTTCTTCGGAAATTCCGAGGTTGCGCTTTTTTTGATACACCCTGTATATATATATATATATATATATATATATATATATATATATATATATATATATATATATATATATATATATATATATATATATATATATATATATATATATATAGTGTGTATGTGTGTGTGTGTGTGTTAGTTGAACGAAACGCGATCCAAATGATAATTTGTTTGTGATCAGATTAACCGTAACTCGTTTACATCTTTCAACGGTAACGTTGGGGATTAACTCGAAGAACAAAATGTTTGACTTTGCTCGAGTTAAGCCCCTATTTTCTAGAGGGCTTAACTCGAAGTACCTAACTCCAGTTATGTACTTCGAGTTAAGCCCTCAACGGAAATGGGTGTGGCATGGGCGTGGTATGGGCGTGGTATGGGCGTGGCCGGGGCTTAACTCGAAAGGGCGTGATCGGGGCTTAACTCGAAGGGCTTAACTCGGGGGGCTTAATTCGAAGATTTGCTACCCCCTTAAATAGACCATTATCGCCATGGGGTGTTTGATTGACTGTTTAATTAATACATTATGTAATGATGAACCATCAGAGGAATCGCAATTATATAGCTTTTAATAGAAAATTCATTTATTGTACAGTGTGTACCAAAAAAGTATAGCCTTTTAAATTTAAATCAAGCATAACGCCATATTCTATTGAGTTCATCTGACAAGGCTATACAATAGCTTCGAACAATCTAGCGACCCGTAAAACAAAAGACTCTCTACTTATGAGACATGTACGAACAACTCAATGAAATACTCTGCACAGTACAAGGAGCATTGTTATATAGCTAGGAAGAACCCCAAACGTAATTGGCTGATTTGTGGTCACGTGACTTCAGATAAGTGCAACGTATCCAGCCGGCCATCAAGTGAAAAATTGTTACCCGCCCCGACCAGCTACATGCATGCATAAATTAACAAAATGGCGGCACAACTAGCATAATTAGAAATTACGATTTTTCAAGTTTGCGTTCAAATAAAGAATGTAAAAGAGAAGAAAAGTACACAACAGGCAACAGGATATGCTTCTGAAACCGTTTAAGTAGGCTATCTTAATTTTAAACTCGTTTACTCTATAATGTTTTTGTCACGAAAAACAATTGTTGTATGAATGTTGTTGAATGTTGATTTTTGTTCGTCGCTATATGTATAACAAAACACTTAATGTCTGTTCCCTCGGGACATAGTTTTGTTTTCCCTTGAATCTCAATGTTTCTCAAACATTGAGACTCTTTGGAAAACAAAAAAAACTATTTCCCTTGAGAGCAGACATTAAGTGTATATTAAAATGAAGTTATAATTGATCTCTTTTGTAAATAGGACACGTTTTCGTCGCGTATCATTAACTCAGAGCAGTTGAGAACAATCAAATCACTTATAATTATCGTTAATTTGAATTTGAAAGGCTATACTTTTTTTTATACACACTTGTATATATCGTTATTTTAAATTGTAGTTTTCTTTCATCAGTTTGTGTTTGCATGCATCAGTGCATGCCCGTTTGTGAAAATTACGCCCCATTTTAAAAGAAAAATAAAATAAAGTTGACAGGAAAACTTGTTTCATATTGATTCTAAAATATTTTTTTTATATTTCTGAGGATGGTTGATGGTTCTGAAATGAACTTCAGATTCTTAATGATCTTTCTGTCTGCATGTCGATTTTGCATGTCCGATCCTATGTTTTGTAAGCAGCGTGTTTTGTAGTGCATGGTGTTAAAGAGACTGTTGAAGACAATTGTGTTCTGGCGCATAATATCCTCGAAATTCTGGAAACACCATTTCAGAGACTCAAAATGAAAATTATTTTCAAGAGCATGCCCTGCCCCCATGCAGGGGTTTCGGTGCATGCGCAATCGTCAGAGCAATCGCCTTTAACCTCTGATATTGTGGGTTCGATTCCCGTTGTGGACGTTATGATAGCCATGTGAAAAGAGTCAGTCAAGGCTCTGCCGAAAATCGTTGGTTTTTCCGGGCACTCCAGTTTCCTCACCTACAGAAACCGCGGTTAACCTCGGTCAAACCTAGGTTTAATCTCGGTCAAACCTCGGTTTAACCTCGGGCAAACCTCGGTTTAACCTCGGGCAAACCTCGGTTTAACCTCGGGCAACCTTGGTTTAACCTCGGGCAAACCTCGGTTTAACCTCGGTCAAACCTAGGTTTAACCTCGGTCAAACCGCGGTATCAGACGATTACAAATTTCAAGACAAATTTACGTTTTAAAATGCCGACTCGAAATTGTCCGCGTATGCTCGAGAGAGAGTTATATTAATTAACCTGTATATTTAGAAGGGGAAGCCATAAAAGTTTCGAGATTAGCGGCTCCTACAACAACAGCATTTACCATGGGGCTTCACAACTATAGAGCTATCATAGTCCAAACCATCGAATTCGACTTCCACTGTAGATCCTTGCTTGTCACTGTAGCAAGAGGATACGATTTGCTATTAACGAATGAAATACTATGCGCAACAGTTCTTATATATTCGAAATACTCCCGACGTTTATAATGAATGTATAGCTGGCGTAGCAACGGCTTTGGAAAACAGAGTCGACAAAATTTGAGAGAAAAACCCCAAACATACAGCGATATTATTAAGAAAACTGTTCCCGTTTTTATTTAGCATATATACAGCAGTATATATAGGCCACACATTGCAATACTATTTGTCAATGGAAATTTATTTTGGTAGTAGCAACAGTAAAAGTTTTCATTTTTATTGAGGAAACGTTTCAATTACACATATAAAACCATTATTATTTTGTGTTTCCACGTGCGTGTAAGGTCGTTTCGTACCAAGTCATCTTGTACTCAATTACCTTTAAAACTCATTTTCGTTTATAAAAACATATTTGACTGAGACTGAGTGAAACATAAATTGGCTGAAAACACGATGTCGATGACTCATCAGATGCTCAGACTCTGACACTGAAAATTACCATACCTGCATGATATTCAATCCCATTATTATCGGGCATAATTTCTTATGAATAAACGTTTATATTTGTGTAATGTTTCTCTATACGACTATCAATCAGGAGAGAACATTCTGTCCAATGTTTTTCCATAAACTATTAGCAAGAGTACAGTATGTCAAACTTTGAAAATGAAAATTCGATGCTTTCGATATGGATACGAAACGACCAAGCTTGAGTAACGTGACCAAACGACGCGAGTGCAATTTGGCGATGACACGACCATAAGTCATAAACCTTAACTAATCATATAGTCAATGAGGCGCATTTACGAATTTGTGGCGATAGTGTAGTATGATAGTATACTTGTTGACGGCAGTCACGGAAATCGGTCCACTGCAGATCGCGTGTTTGGATCTTGGAAAAAGGTATGATATATACTGTTAATAAGTCGATATCATGAGTTATGAGGTTACATATATGGGATATAAACATAGATGGATACAATTAAGAGTCGTATACGGGTATTACCGTTATGATACTGAGTATTTTAATAAAATGCATGCATATATGCAATATGACAACCGTGCCTGCGATAAAGCTAAGCTTTTTTTCTTGACATTTGAACTAGCGGCATATGTCATATAATTATAATATCCAGTGGCAGCACGCGACTGAATGTCAATAATATATCCGCATTGAAATGTGGAATTAACAATCGGCTTTCTAATATCAAAATCAATGCGCCTTTACGGCTTTAGATTTACTACCGAAGTCATGCAGTATGGCTCATTACCGTATATATATATATATATAGAATGTATTCCGCTATACACAGCGACTACAGTTATCTAATTGGTACTTGATAACACCAGATTACTATAGTATTTAGTAATTTACTACCGCGTGTTAGCGTGTATATGTTTTTTCCCTACAAAACTAAAGATTAGTAGAATCGGAAATTTCAGATTAGTAAACTAGAATTCAAGGCACTGCATGCGCTTTAGATTTACTACCGCGTAACGAATACAGTATCGAATATAAGTCCGCCATTTTTTCTGCCTTTAATAGCAGTTTACGATTGGGGCACTCACGGAAATCGGCTAGTATTTAAAATATACTGTATGTTCCTCAAAGGTTCTGTCATGAAAAATGTTACGAATATTTCACTGATGCTAGGCAAAAACGCTTTGCTGGTGACGTAGTCGGATCATTTTTGCTTAGCTTTCCGCAGCCTTTGCCTAAATTAGCTAATGTATATATGCTATATATAGCTATGGACGCTGTGATAAAAGGTCATAAAACATGAAGCAAAAGCATTGGCGCACACAGCTATAATATATACGTATACTACATTTATTTAAAGGTAGTGACATTCGATTATGTTTATTAATTTATTTCACGGAGATTAATTATGTTCCGGTTTATTGGAAAATTTACAAGCGTTCTTGTATATACAAGAAAAAAATTTCATATTCGCGTTCAGTCAGGTATTGTGGAGCGAACTCAACTTCGCAAGGCAGGATCTCTACTTCCGCCTCCCTCCCAAACACGCTCCAGCAGAGAGATCCTGGTGTAGGCTGGTCACGTGACACCTGGTCACGTGACACCACAAGTCACTTTATCGCGTGGGCGAGTAGGCTGAAATATGTGAAATGCAAAGATCGAGTTTCGAGGAGTGTTTATTTCGAAAATCGGATTGATGAAAATGTATGATTTACTTTAGTTGTTCATACCAAGAGCGATAGCCTATGAAAACAAGCCGTTTTAATGACTGATTCCGCTTTAAAACAACTCCTAAATTTACCGCTTTTAGTTTTATTTGTATCAAATTAAAAACATAATTAATGTAATTCTCGTGCAAATCGATGACGACAGCACTCTAACTCGAAAGGATAAAATATGACATTATGTAACTGGCCAGCCGGACAAATAACAACGTAAACAAACATGATCATGAATTATTAAACGTAAATTTACTTTTTATATTTATAGCCTATACAGGGTGTATCAAAAAAACTGAACCCTTTCAAATTCAAATTAGCTATAACGTATTGTAGTAATTTGACAGCTCTAATTGCTTTGAATTAATGATTGGGTAAGAACACAAGGAAATGAAGGAATACTGTATTTCTTTCAAATTTTCTAATTTTTATTTCTTTGAGTTTTGTCCCATGAGTACAAGACCTTGTGTTCTTATCCAACCATTAATTTAAAGCAATTAGAGCTGTCAAATTACTACAATACGTTATAGCTAATTTGAATTTGAAAGGGTTCAGGTTTTTTTTTATACACACTGTACAGTACAGTGTCTTAAAAAACAGTAACCCTTTGAAATCAAGCCTTTGTTAGAATTTGAATTCCTTATTACTATGCTGAACCCACGGGTGCGTAAAAAAGTATATACATATAGTCTTCTTTAGTACAACTGAAGACTTTACAAAAGTTAAGTAATTCAGGTTAAGTGTACAAGATTTTCTACTCCTGGGCATTTAAAATAACTCTAATCGTATACAGGGTGTCCCAGAAAAAACGGAAAACCATTGAAATAACGTATTCAGTGTTAAACTATTTGAATGCCCTAGCACTAAGCTGAACGCAAAGCCAAGATGCGTAAAATATTGACAAGGGTTCACATAAATATCGACCACGCTCTTAGCATAATGAAAAATATTTCAGCACAAACCAACAATACCTCAATACCTAAAATTCGCTTTAACTGAAGATTTTCACGTGAATATTAAGAGGTATATTACCTTCAATGATCCGAAGGATACTGCAAGTTCAAGGGAAAACGTCAAAAACTCAGGTATAAATAAAACATTAAACATTGTATTGCTCAATTGCTCTCGACCTGGTGGGTTCTTTAGGTTCTTGGAACCGGTTATCAGTGATGATATTTCCCTCGGGCCAAAGCCCCTTGGAAAATATCATCACTTTGGGTAATATTTCTCCAAATCCCCGAGGGATCTATAAATGATAAACACGTGATAGGATATAACGATACATACAGGACTAGGATAACCGACTTGTTACATTTTACAAATTCTAGTTTCTGGTACATGTGCAGAAGAAAATTGAAATTGACATTTTTGAAGAGTCGGCCAGGGCCTTGATTTTTCTTTTTTGCCTGCACATATTATTAAGTGCAATTACCATGTATAATATACTAGTAATACATAATCTTGTAAGAAAGAAATAAGTGCAAAAAAAACTGATTCTGATTCATCAATACAAAGTATTTATAAGATCTTCTAATGGTAACCATGCACGTTTCAAGAAAACACGCTCCAACTAAAATAGTTGTTATGAATATTCTTGCAACATGGCCGCCATATATGATGTTATAAATGTTCTACTGACAAGATAATTCCATATATACATGTATAGGTAAAGTAAGCACCAGAGAATTAAAGAGAAAATATTTTATATCACGATTCGAATTACTCGCCCCACGAATATAAATAGGGAATCAATATCTTTCAAGCAGACTATCATTTTGTTTATTAATTTCTAGAAACCTCCACAACCAGTCTCAACAAGCACTCCGCCTCAGATAACATCGACAACACAAAAAACATCTTCAGGTAAGGTTGATACTACGCTATATTAAAAACTTACTTCATAAGTTAATAGTTAAGAGAATTTCATTTTTCTCTATTTAGCAAATCAAGAACTGTTATCATCTTGTAAGGAACTACTGCAAAGAAACAGGTTTGTGAGCCACCAACGTTGAAAGATTTTGCAGATAGAAATTTCGAGTGTAAATTTTATACATCTAGTTAGACCAAACCAAGAGCAGCTGCAGAAAATAAATCTATATGGGCCCACTATAGCTAGAACGAATCCAGCCCTCGGTCTTGCGATTCCGGTGCAGCGCTCTAACCAACTGAGTTGCAGAGTCCAGTACTAGGCCTAATCTGGGGCGGTAAATCGCCTTAAATCGCCTAAAATCGCATTAAATCGCAGTGCTTGAAAATCCCAGTTTTTCCTTGAATCGCCCAAAATCGCATTATATCGCAGCAATTTAAGGCGATTTACCGCCCCAGAGTAGGCCTAGTACTATTGTGTGTTACAACGATATCTTAATTTATGGTTGATCAGTCTCGACATTCCAAAGGGACATTAGAGAAAGAACAGTTAAAACTAAACCGATAGAACAATTCAATATAATGAAGTTAGGCCAGGGTCAAACGTTGAACTTTTCATGTGCCGAACCTAATGTTAATGAGCTAAGTTCTTTGTTTCACTTCATTTGCATTAGGTTCGGCACATGAAAAGTTCGACGTTTGACCGTGGCCCAAGTTTAATAAAACAATGTGGTCTTACTAACATTCACAAAACTTCGTACTACTTATAGGTCACTAAGCAATGGTGTTTACAAACTACAAAATACAGATTCATTCGAACAATATCAAGTTTACTGTCACATGACTGAATTATCCGGGTGTGGCCAAGGAGGTTGGACACTGCTGATGAAAGTAGATGGGAACAAGGTACGAATAATCTTAGCCTAACACAATCTCCTTGAATGCATAAACATGACAAACAATAATATTTAGAGAAATGAGTAAACTTTTTGCTTTGCAGAATGACTTCAGCTACAGCTCTCCTTACTGGACAAGCAAGGAAACCTACGCAATTGAAGATGGACTTGAAGGTTTGAATGAAAAACAAACAAAACTTGCTTCTTACTGGAACACACCGTTTAACAAAATATGCCTCGGAATGAAAGTCAATGGTGTTACAAAATGGATAGCGTTAAACTACACCACAAACTCGTTACATAGTGTGATCGAAGACGGGACTTTTAAAGGAACAACCTTTGGAAAGGAAGCATGGAAGTCTCTTATCGATGGTTTGTCTTTGCAAGAATACTGTAATGAAGAAGGATTTAATATACAAGGGATTTACACGTCTTTCCCTTGGCAGTGGCACATGAACATGCGAATTGGTTTGGTGGCAAATAATGAAAACGACTGCGATAGTTGTGACTCGTGCATTGGCTTTGGTACCTCAGTAAGTGGATGCTTGGGTTTCGTTAGGAGCACCACGTGTGGCAATATGGTTGTTTGTAGTCTGCTGAATAATAAGAACACGGCAGCATTTGGATATATACTCGTACAGTAGTATTTGCAACGTTTCTATGGGAACTAGCTGACGCAGATGCAAAAACTATAATAGTTACTGTAGTAAGGACTATAAACGCCCGTTTTGATTGCACTTAGTATGACTCTATCATGTGTTATATGCAGGCAATTATCGCCATCAGATTTTGATTGATTGTTTGATTAATCGATTATGTAATAATGAACCATCATGGAAATAACCATTATATAGCTTTAAATAGAAACTCGTTACTTTATATTGTAACCTTTTTTCATCAGTTTGTGTTTGCATACATGCGTGTTTGTGAAAATCACCCGATTTTAAAAGTAGAATGAAATAAAGTTGACAGGAAAAACGTGTTTCATATTTTTTTTGAAATGGAAATACAATTTCAGAGACTCAAAATTGAAATTTTTCGGGACAATCCCTCCACCCCCAAAGGTTTTTGCCTGTAGGAACGTTGCCCCTTTGTTGGGATTTCCTGTCGCGACCACTGGTTCAATCTATAGTAGAAATCAGTAGTTGATGTATATGGTCACATTATGATTGTATATGGCAACAACTACATTTTCACAATCATTTTCAAAACTGTAAACTTCTACAAATTTTCATAATTCTACAGTAATTTTCAACCCAACATTGAAGTTTCAATTGTTAGAGTAGTAGTTTTTTAACAGAATAAACAGAATGTTTTTATCTGCAGTTCAAGAGTCTACATTTTCAAAATTCTACATTTTTAAGACCTCATGTTGTCGGTTATTGATATAATATGTACTTTTTAAAATTTGGGCCAAGTTGCATGGTACCGGTATATAGGATCCGCTTGTTACAATGTCGAATTTAAGAAATTCAGAAAGAAGTAACACCTGACATTGCGATTATAAGACGAAAATTGGCAACCGGGAAAATTTATACAAGCAGGGCCGTACACAGAGAAGGGGGGGGGGGGACAATATAAATAAAAAAAAAATAATAATAATTTATTAATTTATTAATAATTAATAATTTATTAATTTTTAATTTATAATTAATTGTACTTATAAATCGTAAATATAGTTTTCTCTAGGACCTAGAGAAAACTATATTTACGATTTTTAGTCATGTTTAATGACATTAATTGTTAATTATTCTTTGGTTATTTGCGACTTTTTCGGCATATAGGCACTACTGCCCCCCCCCCGGTGAAAAAAATCCTGAGTATGGCCCTGCATACAAGAGAACATTATTCCTCAGCGGCATAAACAGGTGTATTTGATATTTGACATTTTGACTATAGTGAATCCGCGTATCGTGTAACTTGGGCCTAAGGTGACAAATGTTTTATAGAATTAGCGTCAGTCGTTTGCGTTAATTTATCACATTCGACGCAAATATTCTTATTGCAACTATGTAAACATGCAGCTTTCTGTTCACACTGTTGCAATAACACATTCGTAATATGTTATACTCGCTTAATGTCTGCGAGAGTTTTGATGTTCCAAGAGACGACAACGTGAAACATTGAAATAGTCGACGGAAAACAAATTTAGCTAACTATTTCCCGAGGGAGCAGATATTCAGCGTATAATCATATAGAGGGCAAAATTACTCAAATATGATTGGCTAATGAGGGTGGATTTTTTCTTAATTCTGGGCAAAATTACTTGTACCTGATTGGCTGAAACGAAAGCGCGGGAAGTTTCTTGTTTTAAATAGCAATAAAAACAATGGCTTCTCGCATTGTCGTCGCAGATAATGTTATTGAAGAATTAAAAACTTCTGGTGAAAACTTGAACACTTAGAAAAGTACAAATTTATTGGTTGGAGTATTTAAGAAATTGACAGGGCAGCATTAAGAAACATCGACGAAAAGGCAAAGACATGGAGACATACGAGGTTCAAGAACTTGACAAGTTCACAATCAACAGTTACGAATAAATTTTGCCCTCTATGATTAACAAGTAATCGCATAGTTCCTCGTAAGAGACAAATCACAATTTGATGTGCCAACTGCAGTATATTTACTAACTTTTAGTGAATGTACATATTATAATTTTAGGATAGCAGCTAAATAATATAATATGTAATTTGATAGAATATTTTCAGGGCTTAAAACCCAGTGGCCAAAAAGTGTAAATCCGTTAACCTTTCTTCAAAAGTCTACGTTTGGCTAATGTCGTAACATAACCATTTCGCCATTTTAGTCAAGTTTCACTTTTTGAAAGTGGTGAAAATGGCCACGTGGTACAGAAGACTTCAATCTTTCTTGAAAAACAGTGATGGTTATTCCCTAAACCTTTTGGCCATTTGTTGCCCTCTTTTATGAAAAAATTGACCATAGTGGCCATAAAGTAAAACATACCCTTTAACTTCGTGAAAAAATGAAGGTTAGTTTTGCAATGAGATATGTCTGTCTGTATCCTTGCATGCATCTGAAAGCTTCGGTGTTTTGGAAGCGTTATTCTAATTTGCAACTGAGGTGAAATTGCAATCTTTACATTTGCTTATTGTTTCATAAACTTCCACGAAACTTTAAAGAGTGAGTATCAGGCCCGTGATGCATTGCGTGCTTATGTTTATTTACATGCTTGCGGAAGCACTTTACATTTCGTGCGATATCATATGAAATATAGCAGTTGTTCACATTGTTGTGCGAAATAAAGTGATTCTAGTACGATGTCTGAATCAGAATCGGACTCAGATTTAACTTTGGAGCGTTACGATTTAGAGGACGATCTAAATGCGTACGGGTCGCCAGTTTGTATATCGCCAAGGGAGGAACTACCCGCCGTCGAAGCAAATTTTTTTTCCGTAGACAGTCGGACTCCTCATTGATAGTCGGACGCATCATTGATCCGCGTCCAGGTCTCCGCGCGTTATCAGTGAATCCCTTCGTAACCCACTGGTGCACCATATATCCATCACTCCACGTTGTTCTTCTTCGACCATGACGTGTAGAAAGATGAACGATTTACTTGCGATGCCATAATAAATCTACAAACTTATTTTTCTGGTTCCGAAAATACTCAAGATCGGTTATTGCGAGTTAAAACTATATATCATCCCTTTTGAAGAGAATCAGGATAAGATAACCAGCGTGCAAGGAAATAGTGGAAGATTCAAAGCGACAATCGATACCACTTTCCACAAATAGAAGTATTGCAGAATACCCTGTGTACGGAATACATATCATGTAGCCTGGCCACTATTTCACTGGATACGTATATACCAGATCTTATTGCCTCGTTCTAATATATATACAAGTTGAAACTAATTACTAAGACAATATTACGAATTGATACTATAAAGGAAATATCATGGAAGACTTTTAATGTTTAATATTATGCTTAGTATGTTTTATAATATAAAATATTTTCTCCCAGCGACGCTAATTAATCATAATCTGTCAAACACCAATGTCCGGTTACGTTGTGAGGAACATATTTGCATATTACACCACATTTAAGCTCTCTATAGCATGATAATTTAATCTATTACTGCCAACTAATTAATGCCACGCATTCGCGTATCCACTAAAATATTCGCGTATCCACTAGAATAGAGAGCTACATTTAACACCATGACAACTTAATCTATTAATGCTAAGCCTAAGTCACTATATGCCTCGTAGCTACCTTTAGCGGGCCACCATCTATTTATTATTAATCTATTGAGAATAAATGTAGATGTATTAATACATCGTATCCATGATGTTTGAAAGGCATATAGCTTAAAAAGTGGATGGGTATTCTGCAATGCCAATCGCTCCTGTCGGAAATCACCAATTGCGAGCGACGAGTATCCGCAGAATATTTTGTTTAAGGGCGCGGGTCAATGATGCGTCCGACTATCAATGAGGAGTCCGACTGTCTACGGAAAAAAAATTTGCGGCGTCGAAGCCGCAGCGGTTGAACCCTTGAATGAGCCAACTTTGGCCGCCGACGATGATAGAACACAAGTTAGTTTACCTTATTTTCACCAGTTGTTTCACTAACAAATAACTGTATACTTGCAGACTTGTATTTACGCAACAAATTTATGTTAATTTCAGCGCTGTAGCTGCAAAATCACGTGCAGCAAGCGAAGCGGCAGAAAGAAGCGAGGTTGCCCTTGCCGGGATGAAGGTATCAAATGCACAGAAAGATGTTCATGTGGAACTAAAACGGCTAATTGCAAAAACAAGACACAGGAACAGGAACAGGGAGCAGTTGCCTCTGCAAGTGCAGGAAAAAACGCTTTGAACGTCACGAGATCGCAGTCAACGAAGCAAAACAACAGATTACGGTGAGCACGTGCATTTTTTATCTCAGAGTTACAATATTGTAAGATTTCTCACAAGCATAAAGTGTCTGAATAATTATGAAGCATATGAATTTTTTACGGCAATTGAACCCGCAACGTTGTGAAGCCACAGTAGATATGCATGTATGATGGAGCAATCTATTTTACTTATACCTTTTGTAGCCTCAAAAATGTTGCAGTTGCACGTTTTGTACTGGAAGAAACACATTTTCAACCGATAATTTTCCTGTTATAAGCGCTGGTTGCCTGGTTTTATATTATTACAGATTACCTTTGTTCTCGCATTATGTATGACGCACGTTCAAATATGATCTGCATACTGATTACGTTTATACCTTTGACAAAAACGTCGTTTGCTTATAAGCTCACTATTCTAATTGGAGAGTGAGGTGAAATTGCAATCTTTTTGTTTAAATTTCGTCCATATTGAACTGGCCACCTTTTATTGCAGGAATCAAAGTCATAATCGAGTACAAAACTGTTAATAAAATAATCAAAACTAGGAAAATGTATTCAACAAGACGCTCTGTAGAGCGGTAACTCGCTGGGGCTATACAAATAGTCACATTACTGTATATGATACATACAGCATACACAGCTATTTCAATTAAGATTTAAGGTTGTCTTCGAGCTAAGCGGAAAAGTCGAATACGAGCGCGAAAGGCTTAACACAGTACTAAAATGAGGTGCCCTACAAATAAAACTTCCGGTGTATCACGTTTCCGCCTGCAAGTAAAATTATATTTAAGGCAATTTTCCATTGCAGTCGCTTTGCCCGCGCGGACGGAGCGGGCTTTGAAAATCTGCTCACGCGGGCGTGACGATCGTCAAAAACAATGAACGCTTCGCCCACGCGGGCAAAGCAGACGTTAATGGAAAACGGCCTTTAGTACTCTACATTCTTCTGTCGGCCGCCAGTTGGTCCGTACGCGAGGATTAAACTACGCTTTAAAAACGTTCAAAATAAAATATTTTTGGGCTTTTAAGCTCAAAATACTATCAAAATGAAGAGATAAATGAGAGGAATCCACTGGTGTACGGCCGAAAAAGAGAAAACCAACGATACCAAAGTTATGAAGGATTAAACTTACTGAATTTTTTATAATTTTTTTTATAATTTTAAGCGATTTGTCAACAATACAATTTCGCTTGGCTTTCAAAGACAAAGGCCATAAATCGCTAGAAAGTAGTATGTTGTTTTGTAATACATTTCACATCCGTAAGTATACAGTAGTATTTGCAACGATTCTATAGGAACTACCTGACGCAGCCACGCAGGTGCAAAATCTATAGTAGTTACTGTAGTCAGTGCGAAACGCTTGTTTTGATTGCACTTTATAATATAACTCTATCATGCTTTAATATAGGCCATTATCGCCATTGGGTGTTTGGTTGACTGTTCAATCGATTATGTAATGATGAACCATCAGGGGAATAGCAATTATATAGCTTTTAATAGAAAGTTCATTTATTGTATATATCGTCACTTTAAATTGTAGTTTTCTTTCATCAGTTCGAGTTTGCATGCATGCCTGAGTTTGTGAAAAGTAACCCATTTTAAAAGTAGAATAAGATAAAGTTGACAGGAAAAACTTGTTTCATATCTATTCTAAAATTGGTTTTCATATTTCTGAGGACAGTTGATGGTTCTGAAATGAACTTCAAATTTTTAATGATCTTTCTGTCTGCATGTCGATTTTGCATGTTCGATCCTATGTTTTGTAAGCAGCGTGTTTTGTAGTGGTGTTTGGAAATTTGTGTCTTGCGCATAGTATCCTCGAAATGCCGTTAACACCATTTCGGAGACTCAAAATTCAAAAAATATTTCGGGAGCATGCCCCCGAGAAAGATTTTTGCCAGTACGAACTTAATCTACCTGTACATGTCGGGGATCTTAGCTCCTTTGTGGGGAAATTTCTGGCGCTACCACTGTTTCGATCTATAGTAGGGACTGCAGTAGTAGGTGTATATGTTCACATTGTGATTGTAGTAACAACTACATTTTCACAACCATTTTCAAGACTGTAAATATTTAGAGATTTTCATAATTCTACAGTAATTTACAACAAAACTGCGCATTTTCAAGACTCTACATATATTTTCAAAATTCTACATTTTCACGAACTCATATTTTCAGTTATTTTCATTTTGTATTTTTTAACTAATAAGGGCCAAATTACACGGTGCTGGAATATCGGATCCGCTCGTGATGACGTCGAATTTAACAGATTCAGGAAGGAATTTTAAGTTAAAACACCAGAAAATGCGATTATAACACGAAAATTTTCAAGAGGGAAAATTTATACTCGAGAACATTATTCCTCAACGGCATATCTTTAATATTTTATGTCGCCTTGTAACTCGGGCATCAGTTGGCAGATGCATTATATTTGACATTTAAGTCTAAGCGTCAGTCATGTAATTTTCAACACGTCGACGTTATTCTGCATTTTCATGCAAGACTCCACATTTTCAAGATATTTCCAAGGCTGTACATTTCGAAGACTCGACATTTTCAACCCAGTTTCACGATCCCAGATTCGCTCGTCATGTTCAACATTGAATTTCACAGTTTCAGGAAGCACTTAACAGCTGAATTTGCGGAGGTAGCTAATCTTCGACGTAAGTCCCGACCACGGCCAAACCACACCCATTTTCGTCAAGGGCTTAAATCGATCGCGAAGAAAGAAACACAAAAAGTCCGAGTTAAGACCCGTGAAAAGGATACGCTTAACTCGAAGCAAAGTCTTTCGAGACATGGTCTGGAAACTCCGCTAGACTCTTTGTTCTATCTTTTTGTTCGCATTTATGCAGTTATGCGTACGGAGCACGGTCAATGAACACATTGTATTTCAGTATAATGAACGAATCATCCAATAGCAACGATTCAGTTCAGTCATTGAACCATGCTATTTAAATAATAAACCTAAACCAAAGGATTTGCACGGTGTAAGGCGTACAGCTGAACATAAAATCCCAGCTCAATATAACCGCTTTGAAGTTTACTTATTATAATCGCTTTGAATTATAGTTAGTGAGTTTCCAGACCATGTTTCGAAAGACTATGCTCGAAGTCACCGAAAATATTCGACGCTCGAGTTAAGCCCCGACATTTGAGGCATGTAAAAGAGCAATGATTTAGTCGTCCACTTTCTAGCTGGAAATAGTTATCATACGTCTCGGCTTAAATAAGCTGCATTTTAAATGAGTCACGAACAACTCGTATAAACAGTCAATTTTCATTTCAGATTATAACGGACTATAGCTTTTATACCTCTGAGCTTATTACGATCATGAATTGACCTTTTACGCGAAATAAAGCCGCGAGGTCAATTTATTCGTAATAAGCTACTGATGTCTGTAGCCCAGAGGTACAAAAGTTAGTAAAAAATAATCTGTTATTTAATGAAACTTGGCTGTTTATACGAGTTGTTCGTGACTCATTTAGGCTGCAGCTTATTGAAATTAAGGCAATTTAAGCCGAGGCGTATGATAACTATTTCCATGCAGCTACAAACAGGAGCAAAAGTTATTGAGTCGACAACCGCATAAATGCCCCCCCTTACCCCCAATTCAATGTTGTGTGAATGACTAAAAAGAGAAAATTCAACCCACTTTTTCCAACATTGATCATGGGAGCAGGGAGGAGGTTGACGTACTTTCAAATGGCCAAAAATGTGAAAAGTCTCATTATTTTTGCACGTGATTGTAGATTGTGGACGACTCTGATCATTACTCTTTTACATGCCTCAAATGTCGGGGCTTAACTCGAGCGTCGAATATTTTCGATTACTTTGAGTTAAGCTCCTCTTTTTTCTCGGACGCGATAATATCCCGAATCGTATTTTCAAGGATTTTGCTGAATCTCAGTCAGTTTCCTTCTTATTAAACAGCTCTTTTGCAGATCAAAAGTTACCCGATTCATGGAAGTTATAGCCAAGGTTAAACCTGTCTGTGACATAAACCAACATTTGCAACCAATATCATGCACTCATTTGTTTCGTATCCAAGCTAGCCGAAGAATTTGTCATAGAGAAGTATGTTGCCCCTGTCATTTTAGAATCTATTGATCCAAACCAGCATGGTGGCTTACCAATTACATCTTACCTTATCAAATCAATTAGATCAAATAAAATAAAATCAATTAGATCAAGGCATTCCACGTGCACATGGGACCAAGATGGGACCGTGGCTCTTTATCCTTGTGATAAACAATCTAAACTGTCAGGCTTTAGCTGTTGGAAATATATAGATGATACAACCAATATAATATAAATACTTATTTTAGTTTAACTGTTCTATAACTTTTCTTGTCTCTCGTCTCGTCACTATTTGTGTTTCACAATAATATTGTCTCTCAAAATTTCTAGTAGTACCTATATATACGCGTCTCGCTCGCGCCCTTCTGTTTATGTTTTTTGATTGACAGTTATAAAGTTAGATACTGTATGACGTCAGTCTACAACACTTGATATATTTTGAACATGTCATAATTATATTTTTGGCGTCTACTGGAACAGTAGAAGGCCTATGCTGTCGTCGAGTTTGGGGCAGAGTACACAATAAGGGTTCACTTTTCGGAGATTTCGGAAAACGCTTGCTTACGCTGTTGTTCGATCATGTGGCGAGAGGAGATTTCCGAACACAGGCGGTCCAATTTCAGGATGAATAATCAAGAGTTGCGGGTTTTTAACGGCTTTTATTAATTAGTAGCATGACAAAATTACTGGATGCTGATTGGTTGAGACGAGTACAATTATTTCATTAATTGTACTGCAGTACAATTAATGATTTTCCCAAAACAAACAAAATGGCGGAAAGGTATTTTAAACACAGATGTGGAATGAAATTGCCGTGAAGGAACTAGATGAAAATACGAACAAAAGCACCAAATTTTGCTTGAACAAAAGAACTAAATGAAAATACAAACAAAAGCACCAAATTTTGGTTGAAAGTCTGGCAGAACTGGGCTTTGGTGAGAGAATATGATGTTGACATTGAGAAGTACGTATCCAATTTTGTCATGCTAATAATAAACAAGTAATATGCGATGTTGCTCGTACAATTAGCGATTAATATTAATCCATAATTGTACTCACCATCGCATCATTACCTAAAAATTACCTTATAAACAAATTTTATACTCAACCAAAACTAGCCAAAAAACATTCTTAATTAGTCAAATAACTACACTTCAACAATAAAATATAGCTGACATGATATTATAATGCTTTTGAATTCTTTTAATTACTCCATGGGCTTAATTAGAACGGTTTATGCAACCTTTTCTGTGACCTATATGTTGTGTATTGCTCGTCGTTACTAGAAGGTAAAAACTCATCATTAGTGGCCCGACCGCATCGCCTTCAAAGTCAAACATCTCCGCCCAAACTTGTCGTACGGCAAAACAAATTCAATCAGATCTAAAGAATATGCATGGTTTGATCATACAGCTCGGGCAAATTTAGGAACGAACGGATCCAAAATCTCTCTCAATTTCGGCTATTTCCATAATACTTCAAACTGTTCGGGCGTGATCGTGGACGTGAGTGACGTAAGCAATACCTGACAATACCGCCTTACGCGGGTGGGACAGCATCAAAGTGACGAATAGGCCGCGGCTTAATTAATTAAATAAGTCGCGAACGCGGGTGGGACAGCATCAAAGTGACGAATAAGCCGCGGCTTAATTAAATAAGTCGCGAACGACTCGTATAAACAGTCAATTTGCAATAAGCCGCGGCTAATTTAGGCCTAGCTTTCAACTCTGGGCTTATTTTAGCCGCGGCTTGCGAACTATTAATTGATTGTTTATACGAGCGAAAATAAGCCGCGGCCTAAATAAGCCGCGGCTTAAATAAGTCGCGAACAATTCGTATAAACAGTCATTTTGCAAACTGCCGTGGCTAAATTAAGCCCAGCGTTTAAAGCTAGGCCTAAGTAAGCCGCGGCTTATTGCAAATTGACTGTTTATACGAGTTGTTCGCGACTTATTTAAGCCGCGGCTAATGGACCTTTCCCCAATTAACCAAAATTTTGAACTCAACAAGTCTAGACAAAAATTTCATCACAGCTTGAAAGAGCATCACAAAATTAGTAATATTCCAAAGTTTCGTTGCAAAATGTTGTAAAATGCGGATAATATAGCCTTGCGAAGTTTTTGCAATTTTCAGTCATTTTAGGTTACAAACGGGAAATGGTTACCACTTCTGTGCGTAATACAAAATGACTGAAAATTACAAACTTCGCAAGGCTATATTATCCACATTTTATAACATTTTGCAACGAAACATTGGAATATTACTAATTTTGTGATGCTCTTTCTTGCTGTGATGAAATTTTTGTTTAGGCTAACTATTTCCCGTTTGTAATCTAAAATGACTGAAAATTGAAAATTTTGCAAGGCTATATGAACCGCATTTTTATACAATATTTCGAAACGAAAATTTGGAATATTGCTAATTTTGTGATGCTCTTTCATGCTATGATGGAATTTTGACTAGACTTGTTAAGATCAAAATTTTGGTTAATTGGGGATGGTCCATTTAGGCCGCTGCTTATTTTCGCTCGTATAAATTGCCCTAATTGTCTATATGTATTGTTTACGTCACGCCCACGATACCGCAAACTATATTGCAAAAAAATTATGAAATTTTTTCATGGACATTGATATATTTTACCAACGTTCCAATTTGCCATGGAATTAAAATATTTGATAATTAAAATATTTGGGAACCTGTAAATTTGGGTGATATGTAATAGCATACCTTTATTTTAATAAAACGGTCATTTCGTTTATTTCTCTGCTTTAAGTATCTTTCTTTGCTTCTGATCCAGTTGACGCCATGTGCGCTACAGCGTACCTATTTTTCTTACACGCTGTCAGTCAATAAGTACGTTATGACATTTTAGAATTATATTAATTTTATAGCGTACAGGTGGCAAATTTGTATAAACATAATGTTGTTCATCAGTCACTCTACGGATGCATGAACAGGTCTTCTGGTTGAAAAGATCCACTGTCGTCAAGTAGTCAACATTGAAAAGATACTGAAATACTAAATCATTCACGAGTTTGTCTCAAGCGAACAGACAAATAAGTAATATCAAGATGCTACCTGTTCAATGGAAAAGGGCAAAACAAATTTGCCGTGGGTCGTTAAAGCTCTCATCGACTGTACAATTTAGTCGTTTGGCTTCTGTACTTCTGAGATTCAGTCTTTTGCCGCTGATATTTTTGAATCTCCAAACTTTTGGAGAAGGGCTCGACTTTTGTTTTGACGCATCAAAGGAAGGTAGGTTTTGGTAAACTGCAAGCGTTAATAAAAACTGTCGTCCTTTTAGAGACGTGCAATTTTCAATGACAATGTTTTAATTTCTAGAATATTGATTTGATTGACATGAATGTAACCTTGCTTATTTCATACGTGTTGAAAATTATATAGTGACTTTAAGATTGAGCATGCAAGGCCGCACACTGTAGTTAAATCGCGTGACACCTCCGAACAGATGTTGGCCGGCATATAGCTATATTTTAATTACTATAAACGCAAAAAATAGACTTGTTGACAAAAAATAGATTATTAATTTGATACGTGTTAACTGACTTAGTTAAAATAGATTATCTATGGCAGTCATAACCGGAAAAAATTTATTTTTAAAACCCAGTTCCTTAATTGTTACATTTGTATAAACTGAATCTATGATCGTTTCTATTTCGAAGACGTAGATCATTCTTATCCAGCCGTGAGATGGGAACAAGATGCGGAGATATTTTAGTACTAGCTTTAGCGTCCCTAAAAAAATTTGTGCAAAGTTGCAATTGTTAATAATTTATGGAGTTTTTTTTTCTGTGTTGGTGTTATGCATGTACTCAGGTGAATATGATGTTTGTGATGTTACTCGTGGCCAGGTATATCTTTCAAGCTTGCCCGGTGTGGATATACACTCAGAGTAACATCACAAACATACTTTATGGAGTGTCAAATGTCAACAGTTTTGCGTTTTAAATAAGTAAAATATGCTCTATAGCAACCATGCATATATATCTATATTACATCAGGATAGCAAAAAGATGAACAATGACAATATACCAAAATAAACTTAAATGTCCGTGAGGTTCAATAAAGGAAGTAAAGGACACCCCATGCAGTGTTGCAACAGATGACAAAATCGGCGGAGTACCCCGCGCGAATAGAGTTTGTAGTCGGAATGTCACGCAAAGCACTGTTTTCACATGAAACTGACTACAATTACAACTAGAAGGGATATAGATTCATGTCTCGCTGTTCATGAGTTAGGGTCAGCGGTTACGGTTAGAGTCAGGGTGCGGATAGGGCTCTGAGCATTCATAAACAGCGAGACATGAATTTATAACTATACTAGAAGGCACTCGAAGACTGCATGCATCACAAAATAAATAATGGGCAGAAGGTTCACTCGTGTCGGAACCTTCGAAGTTTTTGTGCCAGCGCATTTCCCTCCGCGCCAGTGAACTCGTAATATCTCTGGAGCGAAAACTAGAGTCCAAAAAGTGAAGCCAGTTTCGTTTAAACCGCGCAGACAAATGCAAATCTTCTTAATTTTTCGAAATATTTTTATTGTTATAAATACAAGAGATGGCAGGAAACATAAGGTATCTAATTGTTATCTGAGAAGAGATTTTGACACAGAATTGATTATTAATCATAATTTATGAATAAATTAAGTTACTATACTAGAAGTTACTATCGCAAGGAAAGTGCTGCCTCATCCCCAATGGATCAAAGCCAGCATGTACAATTTGCTGAATAAGGGGCTGTTTATATGATCCTACTTTGCCAGGACGAGATACAAGGTTTTCGATGTATTGAAATAAGTCATGGTCTACAACATTTCAGTTCTGTTAACCAGCATTTGAACTTTCATTTAGCCTAGTGAATTATTTCAATTCCTAAAATCATCCCACCTTCCATCATGTAAACAACCCCTAAGACCTGTCCATGGGGTAGGAAAAGTGCATTTTGAATACCAAACCGGCACCTTGCACAATGTTGAAGGTCAGCTAAATATTCTATTTCTACTTTGTTGGCATGGGTGATTTTATATGAATACTTTCAATGCTAATAACTTCTTGTTTTTGTATGAAAAATTATAATACTGTCAGTGGTGAAGCTAGCCATAGCAACAGGTCATGCTATGCGAGTTTTTAATTATTTGCATTGTAGGTTTATTAGCATAGCATGACCAGTTGCCATGGCCAGCTTGCCACTGAATACTGTACGATATCATATATATATATATATATATATATATATATATATATATATATATATATATATATATATATATATATATATATATATATATATATATATATATATATATATATAAAAAAGTACTCCGGTTTGATTTATAATAACTTCTAAACAAGTAAAGCTATCAAACAGAAATATCTTGCATTAAATAGAGGAAGGACTAACTTAGATTTTGATATATTACAGTTGTATTTTACTTAAAAATTCACGGAGATATTAATGTTCAAAATCGGGAGCATATTTTTCAATGTGTCTAAAATTAGCGAAAATCGGCATATCAAATATTAACTTCAGCGTTTGTTTGCTTGATGACATATCAGGCTAACTTGTATTTCAGCGAATTGTCGTTAGGGTTTGTAAGGGATATGGCATAGATTTAGACATCTTGCATGTAAGTCTTAGCTCATTGTTTCTTGAAATATGAACGTACGAAATTATGCAAGTATTTAATAGGTCTTTACAAACTTATAAGGTAAATGAAAGACCATGAAAGGCAGGCGCTTAAATTCCAAAATTTCTTAAATAGCCTAATTTTTTTATGTTTTTCATGGATTCAAAACAGAGTTGATTATTTCTCGGTTAGAGCAGGATTAATATTATTCTGCAATGAAGGAAATAATATTGCTTTTTGCAAATACACATCACAGTATCAACGCTACTATTTTGTTACGTTTTGTTCCAAAAATGTTGGATGTCTCTGGGGAGTTGCATGCTTGTTATGTCTTATCGAGTTGTATGGTTTGATTGTGTTTCATTCTCAGTTTATTCTGAACTTAAAAATATTAAGAAAAGGCAAAAGAGTTTGAGTGTTCTTAACAAGATTTCAGAACGTTGCAAAAGTTAGAAGAGCTTCACAATTCGATTGTGACAGCATGCCCTAATTCAAAACTACGAACGATCCATGACAATCCTTCGCGATGCAGTTGTCTCTTGAAATAAGGAAACGTATTCGTGCTAGGAACACAAGCGGATTTCGGACGAATAAATCTTGCTTGTATTTTGTAGATAATAATAATTTGTCTCATAATAAACAATTTGTCAAGTGTTATTTATTTACTGGTAATCGTGCATGTTTCAGTCGGGCAAATCTTGATTAATATTTGATACGCCGTTTTTTGCATATTTCACTAGACACATCCAGAAATATGCTCCCGATTTTAAACATTAATATCTCCGTGAATTTTTAAGTGAAATACAACTGTAATATATCAAAATCTAAGTTAGTCCTTCCTCTATTTGATGCAAGTTATTTATCTTTAAAAGCTATACTTGTTTAGAAGTTATTACGAATCAAACCGGAGTACTTTTTTTTGGGACACCCGGTATATATATATATATATATATACATATATACATATATATATATATATATATATATATATATATATATATATATATATATATATATATATATATATATATATATATATATATATATAAACAATAATAACACTTGAATGAATCATTGGACATGTAGAATTTAATAACAATTCCATGTATAGAAATAAGTCAGTTTTTGTCCCAATTATCATTTTAATGGCACCTTCAAGACTATGTTCACAGAACAACTGAATAATCTACTGATGGGGTGACAAAATCTATTTGTTGACATTTTTGTTTAATACGTCTGCTTCAGATGACACCATTCATTTGTAATGCCGACTAAGATTGTATTCAGTCAGAACTGCAAAGCAATGTAATAGGAAAGAGTTTGTGAGCATTATCGAAAAATATAGTATACCCTGAAATGTAATGACACAGGCACACAACCAGGGTGAATATATGAATGAAGACCGGTAGGATTATTTCATATTTATGCTAACAATGGACCTATATCAGAGATATTTTTACAATCGCCATACCTTGTACAAAACTCGGTTGACATGTTATGTTGATACATGTAGGCTATAACAACAATCCACACTGTCGTCTGTCGCTGGGTTATTAACTGCATGGGTTCAATGGCAGGTTGATACAGGAAATATTTTTACATTACCTATAAAGTATACACAACATTCAGCATTTGTTTTTAAAACGTTCTGAAAGCAAATGGCTTTGTCTATGAACATCCAGAATGAACACTAAACTCATTGCCTTGGCACATCGCCACACAATTGACACAAACAAATATAAAACCAAAAGTACATCATTTTGACTCCTAAATATATTAAAAATAGACGATCTATTGTTTCAAATACCTCATATCGAACGCTAAACATCAGATCTAAATATAAATGCCTTGTAATATCACCAGAAAGAAATAAAGCTATCCTTACCTGAATTATTCAAAATATTGTCGATTTGTGAGAATCCAACATACCGTATATCATGCGAGCGCAATACAAAATAAATTTTGACCGCTCCCCTCGTTTAAAAAAACTCCTGACGCCTTCATTATTTCCCCAGAATTACATAACTTGGCCAAAGAAACTGGACACAAGTAAACACAGACACGCAATACTTCATGTTAAGAATAGTGTGCTGCCTTCGGCAGCAATTACAAAGTCTAAATTACAAACACAGGAAACAAGGAAATGAGAGGGGGGGGGGCATCATGGTAGGAAAACAGGAGTTAGGAAGGCAGGGAAAGAGAGACAAAACTGCCTTGCTTGTTTGTTTGCTTAAGTAATTCAGGTTAAGTAAAGGGATACGGCAATATATTTTGTATTTTTTCATTTTAATTAAAGAACTTTTAAAATTATATGTAAATCTCTTTTACCGATTTTGCGTAACTTTATTATTTCTTGAGATATTTGAACAGAAAAAATCACAAATCAGCGAGCTTTCTGCCATCTTGGATTTTGGCGGATATGCATGTGACATCATAAGCAGGGTCACTTTTCAAACAAGACTTAATGTTATTTGGTCATTTAGATGTAGTTTTATATGGCTAACCCTGCTTATGACGTCACTAAAATCACCGATAATGAGATAAATATTAATCCAAGATGGCGGACAGCAAATTATTTTAAGTCAAAATATTTCAAGAAATAATAAAGTTACGCAAAATCGGTAAAGGAGATTAACATATAATTTTAAAAGTTCTTTAAAATGAAATAACAAAAAAATAAATTGCCATATCCCTTTAAGTACAAGATTTTCTGCTCCTGAGCATGTAAAATAACTTCTAATCGTATGATTAAAGAGCGTAACTACAATCACTTTCATAAGTTGTTGGGACACATGTAGTTTTAGCTTTTAAGTGGATCATTACAGTTTTTTACACACAATACCGTTCCCCTCCCCCTCCCCCCCCACCCCACCCCAATCAATGTTGTTTAAACCAAAACACATAAACCCGACGAGAAATGAGACACAACATTGAACAGGGGGCGGGGGGATTGTCGTTTGTTGAAATTCAAAGGTTTTGTGGCAACTGTCCCAAGACTTTTGAAACGGATTGTACATAAAAAATTGTCAAATTACTAATTAGTCATATCACTTCTATTCTGTTTACGTACCCGCATAGTAATATGACATTCAAGTTCCAACAAATGCTTGATTTCAAGGGTATACTTTTTTGAGGCACCCTGTAGTATACCCCGCTAATTTTCACCACGCATAATGAAAAAATATTGCGGAACAAAACAACAATACTTAATAAAAACCTAAAATTTGCTCTAAGTCCTTTAACTTTATAAAGAAAACTCACCTGAATATATAGTGAAAATAGTGAAAACAACTTCAATCTTCACGAGAAAATCGCAATGTTTAAAACTTACTGCAGAAAAGATTGATAACTTGCCTCGACAGCTGACTATAAGCGCGACTAAACGTAAAATGTTTGAGTGCGTCTTTATGACAGCACTCTGTAAATAAACTAGTTGTTCCATCAGTTAAACTATTTGCCTACAGCTAAAGTTTTATCTTTGCAAAGCAGGTTTCCTCCACACCCTTGGGAGAGTTAATTAATATATGATAATAATAACAAGATGACAGACATAAAATTCCTATAAAATTCGTAATATTATTCCTATAAAATTCCTAATATTCCAATTATTTAGATTTTACAAATTTTCTGGTACATGCATGTCCAGAAGAAAATTTAAAATTGAAATTTTTAAAGAGTACGGCCAGGGCCTTAATTTTTCTTTTTGACCTGCACATATTATAAAGTGCAATTACCATATATTAACGATCAGAAACGTTGTAAACCACATAGGTACTAATATACTGTGTCATGTAAGTAGGCTATATATCAATACAAATATTTATAAGATCTTCTAATGGTAACCACGTTGGAAGAAAACACGCTCCAACTAAAATAGTTTGTTATGAATATTCTTCCAACATGGCCGCCATGATGTTATGAATGTTCTAAAATAATTCCATATATACATGCGGGTAAAGTAAACACCAGAGAATTAACGAGAATATATTTTATATCACGATTCGAATTACTCCGCCCATGCACGAATATAAAAAAGGAAGCAATATCCTTCAAGCAGACTATCATTTTGTTTGTTAATTTCTAGAAACCTCCAGAACCAGTCTCAACAAGCACTCCACCTCAGATAACATCGACAACACAAAAATCATCATCAAGTAAGGTTTTAAAAATCATAATTATATTATAACTACACGACCGACAAGGACTCATTACAGTATACTGGGTTGGCCTAATTTAACCAACAATCTTACTATTTATACTACGCTATATTAAAAACTTACTTCAAAAGGTAATAGTTAAAAGAATTTCATTTTACTCTGTTTAGCGAATCAAGAACTGTTATCATCTTGTAAGGAACTACTGCAGAGAAACAGGTTTGTGAGTCACCAACGTTGAAGGATTTTGTAAAAAAATGTCGTGATATGGTTGATGTCTCGACATTCCAAAGAGACATTAGAGAAAGAACACTTTAAACTAAACTGATAGAACTATTCAATATAATGAAGTTAGGCTAGAGTCAAACGTCGAACTTTTCATTTGCCGAACCTAATGTTAAAGGAGGCATATGTCTTATTTGAAATAACTTTTAAAGTTAAATATGAAGAGCCTTTACAACTTTTTCGTACCTTGCTTGGTTTTCGAAATATTTTGACCAAAACAGTGTGTAGTCCGCCATCTTGGTATTATAATTGACCTAATTAACTGAGTTTCTGATGACGTCACAAGCAGGGTAAACTTGTTAAAACTTCTTCATGTGGGACTAAATTTCTTCGAAAAGTTTCTTAAAATGTTGTGAGTTAATTGAGTGCTAAAAAGACTTCGGAAAATCAAGTTTCACATTGATAATAATGACATGCGGTTTGCAAGATAAAAATTTCGATTTTTACCCTACTTGTGACTTATGCATATCGAATGCATATCCAAGATGGCGGAATGCACGCTGCTTTTGATTAAAATAAGTCTATTTCTTTCGAAAACCAAGATACGAAATAATTGTAAAGGAAGTTTATATATCATTTTAAATGTTCTTTCAAATAAGACAAACTTAATTTATATTGCTATATCCCTTTAATGAGCTAAGTTCTTTATTTCGACGTTTGACCTTGGCCTTAAGGCTGATTTCCACTGTTGCGTTTTTCATACGTACGTATACGCACGTAAAACTTTAAATCCGTTTCAATGTTACTTATGAAATAACCAAATAAATAAAGTAACAGAATTTAGTGTTCTGCAAGTTATTATTATCTTATTTGTAAAATATTTTAAAAATAGGAGGATTCAAAGTTTTACGTGCGTGTACGTGCGTACGAAAAACGCAACAGTGGAAATCAGCCTTTAGTTTAATAAAACTGTACTTTAATGTTCTCTACACCATTAAACAAAAAACAAAAGAATCAGTAATTTTTACAGGCTTATTGGAAATGTGGTGCCAAGAATACCTTCCGCTAATATTTCTGATTAAAGTTTACACAATGTTACAATGTGGTCATGCCAACATTCACAAAACTTCGTACTACTTATAGGTCACTAAGCAATGGTGTTTACCAACTACGAAATACTGATTCACTCAAACAATATCAAGTTTACTGTCACATGACAGAATTATCTGGATGTGGCCAAGGAGGTTGGACACTAGTGATGAAAGTGAATGGTAGCAAGGTATACAGATAAACTTATTTATAGCCTATAACATAATCTCTTTGATTAATGCAGAAACATGACAAACAAATAATATATTAAAAAATGAGTACACGTTTTCTTTGCAGAATGACTTTAGCTACAGATCTGCTTACTGGACAAACAAAGAAACCTACGCAGCTGAAGATGGACTTGAAGGTTTGAATGAAAAACAAACAAAACTTGCTTCTTACTGGAACACACCGTTTAACAAAATATGCCTTGGAATGAAAGTCAATGGTGTTACAAAATGGATAGCGTTAAACTACACCGCCAACTCGTTACACAGTGTGATCGAATACGGGACTTTTAAAGGAACAACCTTTGGAAAGGAAGCATGGAAGTCTCTCATTCATGGTTCGTTTTTGCAAGAAAACTGTAATGAAGAAGGATTTAATATACAAGGAGTTTACAAGTATGGCAGGTCGCAGTGGAACATGAACATACGAATTGGTGTGGTGGCAAATAATCAACACAACTGCGAAAGTTGTAACTCGTGCATTGGCTTTGGAATTTCAGTAAATGGATGCGGGAATGGCGTATGGAGCACAACGTGCGGCAATATGGCTATTTGTTATCAGCTGAATAGTAACAACACGACAGCATTTGGATATATACTCGTACAGTAGTATTTGCAACTATTCTATAGGATCTAGGTGACGCAGATGCAAGAACTATAGTAAATTATAGTAGTTACTGTAGTAAATTCTAAACGCTTGTTTTGATTGCACTTAGTACAACTCTATCATGCATTATATATAGGCCATTATCGCCATAGGGTATTTGATTGACTGTTTGATTAATCGATTATGTAATGATGAACCATCAGGGGAATAGCAATTATATAGCTTTTAATAGAAAGTTCATTTATTGTATGTATCGTTACTATAAATTGTAACCTTTTTTAATTAATCGGTTAGTATTTGCATGCATATTTGCCATTTTGTGAAAATCACAGGATTTTAAAAGTGGAATAAATTTGAAACAATTTGACAAGAAAACCATGTTTTATATTTATTTTGAAATAGTTTTTCATATCTCTGATAGGTGGTTCTGTCTAGATGTCGATTTTGCATGTTCGATCGAAGGGTAGCGCCAGAAAGTGTGCGGGGGTGGGAGAGCAGTTCGGCTATTGGGAAAGCTAGAGCCGCCGTCGCAGAAAATTGGCATCTATTCGGGGAAGAGACTATTTTTTCGGGACAATCTTCCCCTGAAAGAAAGGTTTTTGCCTGTAGGAACTTTGCCCCTTCGTTTGGAATTCCTGACATCACCATGCACTGGTTCAATCTATATATAGTAGAAATCAGTAGTTGATGTATATGTTCACATTTATCATGATTGTAGTAACAACTACATTTTCACAATCATTTTCAAAACTGTAAATTTCTATTCAAATTCTCATAATCCATCAGCCAACGGCGCGGAGCGTCATTCCGGCCGTGAGCTTGGGGCGAGGGTACTAATTCCGCCCGGCTATTTACACCCGGGGAAAGGAACGCACTACGGCACTAGCGAAGTCTAAAGTTCGTCAAATATCGCGGGCGTATGGTGTATGGGTAGTCATCTCACTGATCTCAAAATATGCATGGCTGTTTGCCACGAGTGAAGAAGGGAAGAATATAAAAAATACATGTAAGAAAGCTTGGAAAATCGTTTCACATAACAAATTGTAAAACTTTTTTTCAATTTTTAAACGTAAACATTTATAAGAATTGATTTAGTATGAGAAATCCTAAATTATAGCCTATAGGGCAAGTTTATTTCAATTGTTTAGCGTTCTATTACCGAGTTGAACTGAGTAATAGCGTTCTATTCACGAGTTGAACTGAGTAATAGCGTTCTATTACCGAGTTGAACTGAGTAATAGCGTTCTATTACCTAGTTGAGCTGAGTAATAGCGTTCTATTACCTAGTTGAGCTGAGTAATAGCGTTCTATTACCTAGTTCAGCTGAGTAATGCAATCAATTAGTTGGTACGTGAAAAAAAAAATGCTACTTTAAAAATGAATTGAAAAATAATTCAGGAAACTCAAAAGATACTTGGAAAGTGCTAAATGACCTAATGGGTAGAAAAGCAAAAAGTATTGAGATAAATAAAATAAACATTTCACCTTCTGAGTCTATAACCAAGGTTAAAGGTATAGCAAACACACTTAATACTCATTTCACAGAAATTGGTCCTAAACTAGCATCAAACTACCATCGGCATCCAACGAGAAATCATTACAGATTACCTAAATAAATCTAATACAGTATTTGGGTTTGAAAAGATTTTTTCTCACCAAGTCGAAGCATTACTAAAAACTAGTTATGCAGCAAAAGCAGTTGGAGTAGATAAAATTTCAAACAAAATTTTGAAAATCTCAGCTCCATATATTAGTGAGTCATTGGCTGAACCAACTTATCCTTACTAAGTAATACATTTCCCAGCGACTGTAAAAAGGCAAAAGTGACTCCAATATTTAAAAAAGGAGATCGCTGTGAATCTAACAACTATAGGCCTATCTCGATCGGTCATTTCTGCAATTGCTAGAATATTTGAGAAACTTGTCTACATTCAACTAGAAAACTATGTTCACAAACACAATTTGATTAATCTTAAACAATCGGGATTTCGTTCAAGGTTTTCAACTGCAACAGCAATGATAGATTTGACAAACGAATGGTGCTTAAACATTGACAGAAAACTAATCAACGGAGCCCTATTTCTTGACCTTAAAAAGGCCTTTGATACTACATGCGGGCGATGAAATTATACTGCATGGATAAATTACAGTATCTTGGCTTAGATCAACCAGCAATTAACTGGTTTCAATCTTATCTCAGTGGTCGAATGCAAATGTGCAGTGTGAATAGAGTTTTATCAGATGCACAAATGCTTTCTTGTGGGGTCCCACAAGGAACTATTTTAGGACCACGTCTATTTCTAATTTATATAAATGATTTACCAAGCTATGTTACCCATAGTTCCACGAGAATGTTTGCGGATGATACAAACCTTAATGTATCAGAATGTAGCATTCCAGAAATCAAATCACTATTAGAACGTCATATCCAGTGTGTTGTAGAATGGCTATGTGCAAACAAACTCACATTGAATGTCGTTAAAACTGAAATTATGATGGTTGGCTCAAGACAAAGATTAGCCACCCATACTGAACATTTTGACTTAACAATTGATGGAATGGCTCTCTTGCAGGTACATGAAGTTACGTGCTTGGGGCTCAAAATCGATGAAAACCAGGGGGCTTATATAGTAGGCGGTGCAACGCGCTGATGTCGCGCTGATCGATGTGCGATGCGGAAAAGGACTGGCACGAGCGTGCTTTTCGGCAAAAGTTGACAAGGAGCGTGATTTTTCCTGCTGTTGTATTTTCGCTGTTTTTTCATTAACTACGAAATTCTTGAGGATGTTTTTGCACTGTAACGACGAAGTAGTAACTAGTGTATCGTACGAATGCTTGTTTGGCCTGTATAGTTGAATTTTGAAAGAAATATTGAGGATAATGAGTCGGGCTTTTGATGACTTCAATGAAGGGAAATTTTCAAAACAGCATTTGGGCATGTTATCAAGTCGTCCAAACTTCGAAATTCAGTTGATGGTAAAGATTATAATTATGTGCTTATCTCCAAAAGTTTTCATAAGACTCGGAGTTGAGCAATTGAATATACAGCGTTGGAAAGTGAGGTATTTTTGTGTGTTAAATTTTGCCTCGTTAGACCATTATTTCGCTGCAAAAAAATAAACAACAATTGTATTTTGGCCATGTCATGATTTTTTGTTATTATGTTAATAATTTTGTACGACTTTTAAGGCATTCAATTGAAGTAATTCTGAGCCGTAAACATATTTTACTTCTTGGCCTTTGAATCAAAATACGACTCGCTCGGACGTTTGTTGAGCGCAATAGTCGAAAAAGTTTCGTCCCAACTTTGATTTTTTTTGACCGGCTGGCCAAGACAACTTCTCGTAAGGATTCGTTAAAAAAATACAAATTCAAGTTGAGCATTTCTTGATTTTCAACTGAAAAGATCAACTAGTGGCTAAAATTAATTATGAATTGTATTCTATCGAACGTGAACGATACGTGTACGTACGAAGAGTTTTAAAAACCTTTCACGTCATGCTTCTTGCGAAAGCAACCGTTCGTAAGCTTTCGCAAGCGTTTTGAGCAAAAACTCTAAAATATTGGCAGTATTACCTGAAAATACAATAGCAGAATCTACTAAATTATCGTATAACATCGGAATTTTACCCCCAATATCTATTTCTTCATCAAAACTTGACTACAAAACAGTCAAAACTTCCAGCTCAGTTTTCCCGCCATATTTATCCTTGCCATAAGACAACGTCGCCATAGTAACCACAACAAACTCGTTACCAGTTCATTGCATCACACATCGATCGGCGCGCCTATAGCCGTTTCACCGCCCTATATATAAGCGCCTTGAAAAGGTCATGTTCAAAACATAAAAAATAAAATTATAACAATTAATTTAATTTACGCGTTATGAAAAAGGCAAAACCATATTTGAGCCGGCAGCTTCTCATTAACATATACTACACAATAGTAAAACCTCACTTTGATTATTGCAGCACTGTGTGGGACAGTATTGCTATGACGTTAGCCGATCAACTCCAAAAGTTACAAAATCGTGCAGCTCGTATCATTACTGGAGCCCCATACAGAGCCGTTCATGCACACACGCGATGTTTTTTCTGATTTGGGTTGGTCAACTCTGGCACACAACCGCAAAGTTCAGAAAGCTATAATGATGCACAAAATTATGAATGGAGACTCTCCTTCATATTCATCTGAAATGTTTGAGAAGCAGTCTGGCTCAGCTACTTATGACTTGAGGTCATCTAATTTAAATGTTCAGATACCTAATGTTCGAACTGAATGTTATAAAAAAAGCTTTGCAGTTTCTGCGGCTTTCTTTTGGAACTCCTGACCAAATGAACTTAAAGAGGAGAAAAGTTTATCAAAATTTAAGATTTCACTGTAAATATACTTTGTATCTATATTACATATTCACATCTATTATATTTGATCTACATAAAAAAAACCCGAAAAAATGTAAATATAGTTCTGTTAAAACATACACGGCTTCTAGATAGACCAGACTTAATAATTTAACATTTGTAAATATTATTTCTGATAAAACCACCGTGTTTAAATAAAAATTATTTCAACAAAAAATAAAAAGAATTATAAAAATAAAAATTATTGGCGCTCAAACCAAATGAGCTGCAGAGTCCAGTACCATTATTATGTGACATAACGAACCCTTAATGAAAAATATTCGAATGGAAATGTCGTGGTATGGTTGATGTCTCAACATTCCAAAGATACATTAAGAGGAAGAACAGTTTAAACTAAACCGATAAAACAATTCAATATAACCAAGAAGTTAGCTTAATCAAATTATGCTTTTATATCCTCTACACCATTAAGCAAATAAACAAAAGAATCAGTGATTTTTACTGGTTTATTGGAAATATGGTTCAAATACCTTACCTTAAAACTTCTGACTAAAGTTTACACGATGTTACAATGTGGTCTTGCTAATATTCACAAAATTACTTCTTACTATTTATACTAATAGGTCACTAAACATTGTTGTTTACCAACTACAAAATACAGATTCACTCGAACAATATCAAGTTTACTGTCACATGACTGAATTATCTGGATGTGGCCAAGGAGGTTGGACATTAGTGATGAAAATGGATGCGAACAAGGGACGAATAATCTTTGCCTAACATAATCTCTTTGAATGTTTAAACATGACAAGAAATAATATAGAAAAAATGAGTACACCTTTTGCTTTGCAGAATGAATTCAACTACAACTCTTCTTTTTGGACAAACAGAGAAACCTACGCAGTTGAAAATGGACTTGAAGGTTTGAACGAAAATCAGGCAAAACTTGCTTCTTACTGGAACACACCATTTAACAAAATATGCCTCGGAATGAAAGTCAATGGTGCTACAAAATGGATAGCGTTAAACTACACCACAAACTCTTTACACAGTGTGATCGAAGACGGGACTTTTGAAGGAACAACTTTTGGAAAGGAAGCATGGAAGTCTCTCATCAATCAATGGTTCGTTGGTCTGGTGGCAAATTGACAGAACAGCTGTAATAGTTGTGACTCGTACATTGGCTTGGGAACTTCAGTAAGTGGATGCGGGGATGACGTGAGGAACACAACGTGCGGCAATATAGCTGTTTCTAATCAGCGAAATAAAAAGAACACGGCAGCATTTGGATATAGACTCGTACAATATAGCTAGTTTGCAACGATTATATAGGAACTAGCTGACGCAGATGCAAAAACTGTAGTAGTTACTGTAGTAAGTATATACGAAACGCTTGTTTTGATTGTACTTAGTATAACTCAGTCTACAGTGTGTCTCAAAAAAAGCGAACCTTTCAAATTCAAATTAGCTATTATTATTATTATTATTATTATTATTATTATTATTATTATTATTATTATTATTATTATTATAACATCTTTATACACGGTAACTAATCAACCATATTACCTATCAGTATTTACAAAAATTATAAAGGTTGTTTTTCATTAGGCCGTGTTATTAAATACAGAACTCGAAATACTATTATATAAACTATTATAAAAATATTAAAAGATACTAAGAAATGTTTGGGTCGAAGTGATACGTTAAATATATATATTACAAATGAATTAAGTAGATATAAAATTTTTACTATTATAGTTCCAGTCTTTAGCAGCAGCATATCCGAATGTCCTTTTCAATGAATTTGTTTTAGGCTTCGACAACATCAGCATCTTGTTATTACTTCTTAAATTATATTTATCAGAATTTGAGATTTTAAACATAGTTGAAACGTTTTCAGGACATTGGTTTGAAAGGGCTTTGGCCACATATGCTAATTTTTGCTCCTTTCTTCTCTCTTCGAGTGTTCTCCAATTTAATTTCTTTAAAATATCCGTGGAGCGAATTTCATAGGTATCACCTGTGATTACTCTAGCTGCACGGTTTTGTAGTCTCTCTAGCTTTTCTTTTGAACCTTCGCCACAGTTTCCCCAAACCATGGAGCAGTAATCAAAACTCGGTTGCACTAAAGCCTGATAAATATATTTAAGAGTTTCAAGAGAGACAAATGGCTTTGCACGGCGCAGCATATAACGTATTGTAGTAATTTGACAGCTCTAATTGCTTTGAATTAATGGTTGGGTAAGAACACAAGGTCTTGTACTCATGGGACAAAACTCAAAGAAATAAAAATTAGAAAATTTAAAAGTTTTTAAGAGTCCTATTGTTATAATTTGATCCCACAGGTGCATAAACTTCTGCTTCTGGAACTTAAAATAAAAAAGCAAACCGTTTATTAGTTTTGGAAAAAGCGAAAACGTTTTAAAATGCTTAAATGTAAATACAAGTTCATTAAATTCCGAGGCGTGTAATCACTCGCGTTTAAGAGCGGCTTAAGAACAATGAAATAATTTCTATAGTGTTACTTTTTTCGGGGACACCCTGTATAGCTTTTAATAGAAAGTTTATTTATTGTACAGTGTGTATCAAAAAAGTATAGCGACAAGTTGTTAGACTAGTCGAAATTTGAAATAAGGAGCTTGAAAAAAAATCTGAAGGCATTTCTTAGTAAAAGTTGGTAACAAACAGTTTCTGAAGTACTTTTATCTGCTGAATACGAAAATGCTTGTTACCAAAGCTGAAATTGCGATCTTCAGTGAGAAAATGACGTCACAAAATATGACGTCATCACAATGACAAATGCAGAGAAATAAATATTTTACTTGTCAATATACATCAAATTTTGATCCACTGATGATCACTCACTGTGGTTATTTGTCTTGAATCCCAGAATTTATACAATTAGGGCGTGATTGACACTTTGTCACGTCGATGACGTCATAATGACGTCATACTAACTGTCCCTAAATTATTTCGGATGTATAAATTGCTTGGAAATATTTTCTTTTTAATTTTTTTGATAACAATGTTTGAATAATACTTTAATTGCCAATTGTTTTATTATATTTGTTTGTGATATCACTTGCACAGAAACAGTTTCCTTATCGTGTTTGCGTATTTAGTATGCGTGAACGCCCTGATGTAAGAATCAATTAAGTTAGTCTGACAATTTTTATTTCAAACATCGATAATAGAGCTTGAAGTAAAAATACAAAGTTTTAGTTCTTATCGCGTTTCTGTACTTAAATCGTTTAGAAGTGAAGTTACTCATGTTTTTATACACTTTCTCGATTTCTGTCTGACTTTTTATCAAGGCGCCAGCTTGTCTAGTCCGCTACAGTTATATGAATAATGTCACTTTTTACTAATTTTAGTCTAGGAAGCAAAGAAATAAATTAATTATAAAAATACTTATATAGTATACGCATCGAAATGGTAAATTGAATAGATAAATTGCTAGATTGCATTTTTAATAATCATGTACTGATCTAAAGCTGCGAGGGCGTCAGAAAAGTAAGACTTGTAATTATAAAAATAATCGCTCGTATACGTGCCCGGTCGGCAATTTCTATTTTTAGTTGTGATAACGAGACTATAATTGTTTACGCGATAGCTTTGCTTATATATAGGTATACATTACGCCATGCTTGTAATCGCAGTTTTTCGTTTACGAGTTCACTGGTTAGAGATTATTTACAAATGGATCCAGCTTTTACACTAAAGAGAACTTTAGAAGTTGATTTAAAACTGTGCATTTTTTGCCAAAAGCACAATAAATCAAACGAAATTCTAAAAGAATGTACTGAATACAGTAGAAACGTTGTTCGCGACGCTACGATAAAACGACGAAAGCTCAGGGATGTCGCCAACAGGGAGGTAAGTGATCGTTTAGATAATCTACTTGCAACAAATCAGGAAGATTCGATTGTGTGGCACAGAAATTGTTATGCGCAGTACACAAGTAAGGAGAAAATCCAACGACTGGAACAGAAGCATGTTGCCAGTGGTAGCAATGAAGCCCCTCGAAATAAAACAATCGCATCAACCAGTCCTCGTCAAACACGAAGTCACGCTCAACAAGTTAATTGGGAACAGTGCATATTTTGTCAAAATGAACACTCAGGAGAACGATTGTCGTCTGTAATGACTTTCAAAATGAGTGAGAATGTTATCCAAAATGCACAATTCAACTACAAAGTTAGAGTGCGTTTGGGTGGCGTGTCTGATCTTATAGCAGCGGAAGCAAAATATCATCTACCTTGTTTAAGTGCATTCAACCGATATGCCGAAAAAACAAAGCGCGAAACAAAGCAAACTGATCTAGCATTGGTTTGGTTGTGTGAAGAGTTGGAATATGCTGCTGAAAAGGGTCATGTGATCAAGTTAAGCGATGCAAGGGAAAGATACACCACGCTAGCAGAAAAAGCACAAGTCGAAATTCCTAGCTCATTTTTAAGCCGAAGATCAACGTTCAAAGATAAGCTGCTGTTGAGACTTGCAAATGTGATAGATTGTATCCCGTCCGGACGTGAAAGCTTGCTTATTCCGACTAAATGTGTTAATCTTGCTGTATCACAATTGGCTACTGAAACGGATGAATTGCTTACAATGCCTACATATGAACCAAACGAGGATATTTTCTTATCTTTGGTTCATGTTGCATTGAAGATACGTGGAGACCTGATGGAAACGCCTGGGCACCGAGGTTTTGGAATTTGTGAGCAGGATGCCATTGATTGCGTCCCAGATAGCTTGTTTATGTTTTTACGCCTCCTGTTTGGCGGCCAAAAACTTCTAGAAGGAGAAAATACTGAGAAGAAGGAAGCTGAAACCAGATGCAAGGTGCTCTCAATTGGTCAAGATATTGTGTTTGGAGTGAGTTGTGGAAAGAAATGGACACCCAAACACGTTGGCCTGGGCAGCACTCTTCATCAAGTTACACGGTCGAAGGATCTAGTCAGACTTTTTAGTCAAGCTGGTCATATTTTAAATTATGATCAAATTCTTCAGGTTGACACCGGCTTAGCTGAGAGCGTTCTAGATTCTTTAGATCCTAATACTGGCAGCGTAATACCACCAAACTTGGTTCAGGGAAAATTCGTTCATTTTTCTGCCGATAATATCGATATTCTGGATGAGACAATGGATGGTAAAAACACGTTTCACGCAACTCAAATTGCTGCATGGCAGCGGGAAGCGGAAACGAACACGTTGCTTGAAAACCTAAAGCCATCGACTAAGCGCTGTCTAAATGTACCAGAGTCAATGAACGCGATTTATCCAGTGGAGGTAAAAAGAGGTTCACCAGTGTTTTCAAACGAAGTAACTGAAAAAAATGCTGTTGAAAATAATAACAATGTAGTACGTACGGCTCAAGCAACTGACGTTGCTTTCAACATGTTGCGACAGAAAGCTGAAATGAAGAATGGGTGGACAGAATTTAACCAGTTGCTGTCAGCTAATGAACAAGATGTAACAACAGTGGGATATATGCCAATCCTTCAGGCCCCTGCACATGAATTTGATACGCTCAACACAGTCGTAAAACAGTGCATGTATATTGCAACTACGCTTGGACAAAAGCATACAGTTATTACAGTTGATCAAGCATTATATTGCAAGCTAATAGAATTGAAATGGGCAATCCCTGAATACCAAGATAAGCTGGTGATACAGCTGGGTGGTCTTCACATATCCATGTGTTTTCTCAAAGCGATTGGAAACCACATGAATTCGTCAGGTTTGGTAGAAGCATGGGTTGAGAGTGGACTCCTTGGACCAAATGCATCAGAGCATGTTATGAATGGAAAGGGGTACAAAACAGCAATGCGTACTCACAAAATCACTCTGCAGGCATTGTGGAAGTCGCTGCCACCTTTACTGTTGAAGTTTTACCAGACGTCCTACCCAAATCATTATCAAGAGATATCAGCTTTTGCATCTTCTACAGAATCAGCTGAAGAACTGATAACATCCCTTAAATCATCAGCGGGACAAGACGCTTTCGACGATTTTGTAAAACAAAAATCTGAAGAGAACGTTAATTTCCTGTTTTGGTGGAGCTACATGGAGATGGTGTCAATCTTGTTAATGTTTACACGTGCTCAGAGGAATGGATGCTGGGAACTGTACATGCACAGTTTTCGCTTGATGATGCCATACTTCTTCAGATACGATCATTATAATTATGCCAGATGGGGATCAGTGTTCATCGCAGAAATGGATCAGTTACCAACAGAAGTGTTAGGTGAGTTCAATAGCGGTAACTTCGTTGTCAAATGGAATGCGAGAAAATTCAACCAAGTCAGTCCGGATCACAGTCTGGAATGGCTCAATGGCATTGGGAAAAGAGGAGGAGGTATCGTGTGCATAACGAAAACAACGTCTGCCTTAAGTAGATGGGCACTGTCTTATAATCTGCGATCACAGATTGCTGACGAAACACACAAGATGTTTGGGCTAAGCCATGAAGACAAGTTTTCACACAATGAATCGACCCCAGCAAGGAAACACCGCGACAACATGGACGAATCTTCACTCTGCGCCATTTTTGAAGAGTACAAAGTTTTTTCCCCGACAGCTCATCCAGATTGCCTTTATAACATCGCTACAAAAGACCTCGTCACGGAAGCGATTCAGGTTTCGCTATTAAATGCGCGAGATCTTGGTCAGCAGCAAATGAGCGAATTTGTGAAGCAACGTCTACAAAGTGTCCCTGACGGCCAACAGCCGAAGAAAGCAGTCAGCCAGAAAGTGGAATTTTATGACACCATTCACAAGAACAATGCTCCAACCTTTGATAGTTTGTATCGAATTGTGAAGGCAAAAGAAAAAGATAAATCCACAATGCTACGAGCTGACAGGAATGTCTTGCATCGTTTAATAGTAGCTTATGAAGCTGGGCGCAGTGTAGATTTGCAAAGTGTATTAAAATACGAGTTGATGCCTGTACCTGTGGCGCTAGCAGAAATGAATACTAGCCTCAGAACTGGACAGAAATCTGTACTCGCTGACATTGTTGCACAGGGAATAGAATGCCCAAGTCAAATTAAATTCCAAGGTCGATCGGGCTTGTTCATAGACGGCATGGCATTAGTTGTTGGAATCGGGAAGCCATCTGGTACCCAAACGTTTGAGGATTATGCAAATGCGTTTCAAACAGCTGTGTTAAAGGCTGGGTCACGTTATCAGGAAATCCACGTCGTATTTGACCGCTATGTTGAAGACTCTATAAAATCGGGAACAAGACAAAGGCGCACACAAACGACATGTCCCATCCGACGGGTTATTGAAAACGGCAGTGTCCCACTCCCTCACAATTGGCAAAACTTTCTTGCATTACCAGACAACAAGTCGGATCTGTCCAGGTTTCTTTCCGAGTACATCATTGCCAATTCGCCCCCAGATAAAATTATTGTAGTTGGTGGAGGATTTATAGATGAAAGGGAAGTACAGTCCTCAGATCGATCGGGAGAGTTAATCGATGTAAGTGATTTCAGTGCAATACACGAGGAAGCAGATATACGTTTGATCCTCCACTGCGCCAAGAGTAATCTCGACACCATTGTTGTATCGGCGAGAGACACTGATGTTCTGTTGCTTCTGATCGCACATGCTCCGCACATACCGTGCACTAACCTTTGGATGAAGTCTGGTACAGCTGCTAAACGAAAGTACTACAACATTAAGGCTATCTACGAGAATCTTCCGGCAGGATCTACCAAAGCTCTGCTGCCTTTCCATGCCTTAACTGGCTGTGACACTACGTCTTTTATATACAATCACTCAAAAAAATGTGCATGGAAGATCTTCCTTGAGCATCACCAACTACTTTCGTCGATAGGTGAGGGCGAATTAACAGAGCAGAAGAAAAAAGCAGTAGAGAAGTTTATTTGCACGATGTACAAATTGGATCTTGCGTCGGTTGATGAGGCCCGAGTTGTACTTTTTTCCAAGGCAGGAAAGCCGGATGCATTACCACCAACAAGTGATGCATTATCACTACACACCTCACGTGCTCACTATCAGACACTTGTTTGGAAACAAGGGCACTGTTCAGAGCCCTTACTTCCAGATCCTGTAACCATGGGATGGAACAGAACCGATGATAACAAACTGCGACCTGTTCTGATGAGCCAAGATCCGATTCCAAAGGCTTGCTGTGAAATAATCTCTTGTTCATGTCGTACTGGTTGTACAACTTGTCGGTGTAGTTGCAAGAAGGCAAGCTTGTTCTGCACAAGTGCTTGTGGGTGCGGGAAAACTGATGACACAAACTGCTGTAAAAACACCAACACTAAGTGAAACAACTTATCAAGGCGGTTATACCAACGGAGACTTGGCTTGGAACTAAGGATAAGGACAAAGAATTTAGATCTATTTATGAACCGGATCATGACTGTGGAAAACGATTCAACTGGTGAGTAAACATGGATGGCTCAGTAGTACTGTGTTTCTGTATAACATACATAACGTCAGGATTTCGATATATTTAACTATAAGACATGTAATCTGCCACAGAAATCGTTTACAAACATGAGGTATTCAACATACTAATGCGCAAACACGATAAGAAAACTGTTTCTGTGCAAGTGATATCACAACAAATGAAACAATCTGCAAAGTATTATCAAAATATTGTTGCTATTAACAATCGAAAAATTAAGAATGAAAATATTTTCAAGCACTTTATACATTCGAAATAAATTAGAGACAGTATGACGTCATTATGACGTCATTGACGCCAGAAAGTGTCAACCACACCCAAATTGTATAAATTTTAGGACACAAGACAAATAATCAAGTGAGTGATTATCAGTGGATCAAAATTTGATGTATTTTGGTAAGTAAAAGATTTATTCCTCTGCATTCGTCATTGTAATGACGTCATTTCTTGTGACGTCATTTTCTCACTGAAGATCGCAATTTCAGCTTTGGTAACAAGCATTTTCGTGTTCAGCAGGTAAAAGTACTTCAGAAACTGCTTGTTACCAACTTTTACTAAGAAATGCCCCGGTATGTTTGATTTTCCCAAAAGTCGACTAGTCTATGTGCTCAGTCAGACAGAATAAAGATAAGTCGAACAGTATTAAGAATTATATTACATAAGTAAAAGTTATAGAGATGCTAATTATTGAGTAATATACAAGTAAGAAAATAAATATATCATTGAAAGTAATTGGTTTCACAATCTTTGTTGCGAGCAAATAGAACCAAAAGCGCGGCCAAATAAATTAGTAAGGACCGGCTCGTAACACTTTTAAATTTAAATCAAGCATAACGCCGTATTCTATTGAATTCATCTGACAAGCTATATAATAGCTTCGAACAAGTTAGCGACCCGTGAAACAAAAGACTTTCTACTTACGGGACATGTGCGAACAACTCAATGAAATACCCTGCACAGTACACGCAGCATTGTTATATAGCTAGGGTGAACACGAAACGTGATTGGCTGATTTGTGGTCACGTGACTTCAGATAAATGCAATGTAGCCAGCCGGACAACAAGGGAAAAATTGTTGCCCGCCCCGAACGGCTACGTGCATAAATAAACAAAATGGCGGCACAACTAGCATAATTAGAAACTACGATTTTTTAAGTTTGTGTTCAAATAAAGAATGTTAAAGAGAAGAAAAATACACAACAGGCAACATGAGATGCTGCTGAAACCGTTTAATTATAGACTTTTTAAATTTTAAATTCGTTTACTCTAAAGAGATTTTGTCACGAACTATATTGTTGTATGAATGTTGTTGAATGTTGATTTTTGTTGGTCGCTATATATATATATAACAAAACACTTAATGTCGGTTCCCTCAGGAAATAGTTTTGTTTTTCTTCAAATCTCAATGTTTCCTTCGACTTCGTCTCGGGAAACATCGAGACTCTTTGAAAAACAAAACAAACTATTTCCCTCGAGAACAGACATTAAGTGTATATTAAAATGAAGTTATAATTGATCTCTTTTGTAAATGAGACATGTTTTCCTCGCGTATCATTAACTCAAAGCAGTTGAGAACAATCAAATCACTTATAATCAAATCAAATAATTTTATTTCACACCTTTTTTACAAAAAGGAGGACAGGTTGACAGATAGGAAATATAAGTATCATTACAATGGTGCTGGGAAGTTGGAGTAACTATAAGTTTTCTAAGTCAACTCCCCTTTGAATTAAATTTTATAGTTATCGTTAATTTGAATTTGAAAGGCTATACTTTTTTGATACACACTTGTCACTGTATATATCGTTATTTTAAATTGTAGTTTTCTTTCATCAGTTTGTGTTTGTATGCATGTTTTATGTGGCCTATATGTTGTGTATTGCTCGTCGTTTAATACTAGAAAGTAAAAGTCCATCACTTGTGGCCCGACTGCATCGCCTTCAAAGTCAAATATCTTCGCTCAAACTTGTCGTACGGCAAAACAAATTATACCAACGTTCCAATTTGCTATGGAATTAAAATATTTGATAACTAAAATATTTCGGAACCTGTAAATTTGGGTGATATGTAATAGCATATCTTTATTTTAATAAAACGGTCATTTCGTTTGTTTCTCTGCTTTAATTAAGTATCTTTCTTTGTTTCTGATCCAGTTGACGCCATGTACGCTACAGCGTACCTATTTTTCTTACATGCTGTCAGTCAGTCAATAAGTACGTTATGACATTTTAGAATTACATTAATTTTATAGCGTACATGTGGCAAATTTACATGTATAAACATAATCATGTTGTTCATGAGTCACTCTACGGATGCATGAACAGGATCTTCTGGTTGAAAAGATCCACTGTCGCCAAGTAGTCAATTAGGGAACTTTAAATTCGCTACGGCTACGAAATCTGATACGACTACGAGATTTATCTGCTACTACAGACTTTTTATCGTCCTTTCTTTTGCATACCACATCTTTATAGCATCAGTTGCGCCAAACCACGTACTATTACAAGTTTTTAGTAGCTGATATTTAATGGAAAAAATTTCGTAGTCGTACTAAATTTCTAATCTAAAGTTCCCAAATATTGAAAAAATACTGAATCGTTCGCAGTGGCGTGGCCAGACCGGCGATCTAGTCCTGCTGTGCAAGTATTGCCATGTTTATAAACTATGAACACAATCAATTTCTAAAGAAATGAATAATGACAATGAGTTTGAGTTTGCGTAGCAGGACTAAATCGTTAGGCTGGCTACGTCACTGATCATTCGCGAGTTTGTCCCAAGCTGAACAGACAAATAAGCAATGTCAAGATGCTACCTGTTCAACGGGAAATGGCAAAACAAATATGCCATGAGTCGTTAAAGCTCACATCGACTGTACAATTTAGTCGTTTGGCTTCTGTACTTCTGAGATTCAGTCTTTTAACGCTGATATTTTTGAATCTCCAAACTTTTGGAGAAGGGCTCGACTTTTGTTTTGACGCATCAAAGGAAGGTAGGTTTTGGTAAACTGCAAGTGTTAATAAAAACTGTCGTCCTTTTAGAGACGTAAAATTTTCAATGACAATGTTTTGTTAGAATATTGATTATTGACATGAATGTAACATGTTGAAAGTTATATAGTGACTTAAGGTTGAGCAAGGCCGGATACTGTTAAATCGCGCGACACATCCGAACAGATATTGACCTGGGGCCGGTTGTATAAAAAAGTGATTAAAGTTAACTATAATTAAGTGCAAACGTCATCTAATAAGCGCGTATTTGAGAGTTAATCACTATTTAACTACAAAATAATGATTAAATAAGTGATTAAAAGTTTTATACAACCGGCCCCTGCATATAGCTATATTTTAATTCAGTATAAACGCAAAAAATAGACTTGTTGACAAAAAATAGATTATTTGATACGTGTTGAAAATTGACATTCTAATTTTCGTTTCGACTTTTATTTCAGTCATCTAATATTCTAAACGTGGCCAATTAAGATTTGGATTCATTTAAATGTAATTATATTATATAAAATCGCACGGAGAGGTGAATTACTTTATAGGCCTTTATATTTACGATTGCTGTAATTAACTAACTTAGCTAAAATAGATGATTATCTATGGCAGTCATAACCGGGAGCAAATTATTTTTAAAACGGAACGTTTTACATTTGTATAAACTGAATCTATATGATCGTTTCTATTTCGAAGACGTAGACCATTCGTATCCTGCCGTTATCAAGATGAGATACTTTTTAGCTTTAGCGTCCCTAAACAATTTGTGCACAGTTGCAATTGTTAATAATTTATCAAGTGTCAATAGTTTTGTGTTTTAAATAAGTAAAATATAGCAACCATATATATCTATATTACATCGGGATAGCAAAAAGAGGAGCAATGACAAAATATAAATATGGATAAAACGCGGTCGGGTAAAGGCATAATAAAAGGAAAAGTTCTCTGACCAAAAATAATTTATTCTGACGAGCTTTCGGCCACGGCCACTAGACTGTGGTTTTCTACAGGTACATGACTAATGAAAATAGCCAGCTTCTATACTAACTTAGGTTGTGTTACATCATAGATTAGGAATTTTAATTACGAGTATTGAGATATAAGTAAAGTAATTAGCGGAGGCAGCGTTTCTTTGTGAGCTTAATGTATTGTTTAGGTAATGCCTTTGATTTGGTAATGTGCCATGATTCCAGAGTTTTTCTTTGTCTTTAGTTTCCCTTGTCAATAATTTCCCATTTTTCAAAATCAATTCTATGTCCGTTTTTCCACGAATGTGATGCCTATGTTCGAACTGTTCGCATAAGTCTTTACATTGCTCACATGTTTTTTTTTCTTGTTTCGAATGCCCTCCTATATGTATGCCCTCGTTTCTGCTATGTATTACCAGTTACAAACTATAGACCAAGAAAAACTCGGAAAACAACAAAGAAGAAAAACTCGGAAAAACGGAAACAACTAAGGACGCGGACAACAATTCAAAGCCGTTACCAAAACAATACATTAATTAAGGTGGCTCCCTACCGTTTTGGTTGTAAAGCACGCAATTGTATTAAAAAAAAACATTATTTCATCATCTTGCAAAGTATGATCACGAAACTCGGACACATATAATTGCTACAATATGGCGAATTACGAAAAATAAAAAATGTCGTTAAAAATCCCTGTTGCCATGGTAACAAAGCGATTATAGAAAGGGCCAATTTGGATTTCGGAACCAAAATATTCATTTCGGATCGGATCGGATTGATAAAGTTGTTTCGTAGTCGGATCGGATCGGACTTCGATATCCCAAATAAAATGAACTAATTATCAGTCCACGCATTATTGCAAGAATTAATTATCCATGCATTTATCAAAGCATTATCACGGTTGTCGCTGCATTACTCGTTTGATACTTCAATACTGAATCACTTTGTCAGCTTCTTGACATGTATTTCTTGCTTTTATATTTATTTGTGTAATTTAAATATTTCAACTTGAATGAGAAATTTAATTTATTAAAGAATTCTTCGGATCGGATCTGATTGGAATTTTTTATCGAAACTCGGATCGAATTCGGATTAGACGATTTCGGATCGGATTTTAAACATTAGGCAATTGTCGGAATATAAACGTCCAATCCGATCCGATGCACACACCGAGCATTCATAAACAGCGAGACATGAATTTATAACAACTAGAAGTAGAAGGCACTCGAAGAATGCACCAATCTCGTTTCCAAATCGAATTGATTCACGATAGGTTTCCAACTTGAGTCCTACAGTACGCATGCTCGGCAATTGTTGCAAAATATAAACAAAGTATTTAGAATTTCTCGTCGAAAATTTGATACTTTTTGCTATTAAATCGATTGAAAATAACTAAAAATTCTAGGGGAATTATGTACGAAATATTTTGATTGGGATACAACTACCTGAAAAATACAAGGAGAATTTCGACGTTTCGAGCGAAAGATGGTTAACTTTGTATATATGTACTTGACCTTTTACACTGTCAGGATTCATGATAAAAATCTCCTCAACAACATACGTTCGCCGCTAGCAAATCGCCTGCCTGAATCATTCGATTTTTCCAGATCTATACCCACCCTTAACCTGCGAACGGGCATACTCGGGAAACGAGATTGAGACTGCATCACAAAATAAATAATGGGCAGAAGGTTGGCCTTTGAAGTTTTGTGCCCGCGCATGTCGCTCCGCGCCAGTGAACTCCATACTGTACATCTCTGGAGCGAGAACGCGCATCCAAAAAGCGGAGCCAGTTTCTTTTTAACCGCGCAGAAATAATTTATTGTAATAAATACAAGAGATGACAGGAAACAAAAGTATCTAATTGTTATCTCAAAGAGATTTTGACACAAAATTGGTTATTATTAATCATAATTTATGAATAAATTAAGTTACTATATTACAAAGTATTAAATTACAGACACAGAAAACAAGGAAATGAGAGTGAGGGGGGGGGGGGCAAAAATTCAAACTCCTTATATGTTGTTTTATGTAAGGCACTTTTTGTTTATCGACAAGTAATAAATAAAAAACTGTATTGAGCCACCTTAAGCCTTCCTAATTAAGCAAGCAAGGCAGTTCGCGATCGGTCCCTCTTTTCCTGCTCATTCCTGCCTTCCTACTCCGACCCGACCCTTCACTCTCATTTCCTTGTTTTTTTCTACGTCTCTGTAATTTAATGCTTTGTAATATAGTAACTTAATCTATTCATAATCCTTGTTATTGTAATTGTACTGTTAGTCTGAAGATGTATTGAGTTAAGACGAAACATGCAAGAAAAAGAAAATGCAAGGGTATATAAAAAGGATTATATAAAAGTTTTAGTAAAAGTAAAGATGTATTGAGTTAAGACGAAACATTACTTTTACTAAAACTTTTATATAATCCTTTTTATATACCCTTGCATTTTCTTTTGCCTTGAATGTATTATTACAGCCAACTGATGGAAACTGTAACTTCCACCGCAAATTAATTTATAATTTACTCCAGCACAGTAATGATTCTAGTTATATTAATTATTTGTTCAAAATCTTAAAGGTCACCGTTTGAACAGCACAGTGATAAAATATGTTCACGCTCACTTTGGAGTGCAATGTGTCTTGCTATGTCTGAATGAAGACAAATCATGTAGATCTACTAACTTCAGAAAAACCACAAATTCTGATAAAAATTGTGAGTTACTAAGGGATGTTCATGCAGAAAAACCAGATCTGTTACTCGAAGACGTCCAATTTGATCACTACCAATTACTCAATCCTAATAGGGTAAGTATGAAGCGTTCTTCTATATACATGAAAAAAAAATCTTATTCGCGTTCAGTCAGGGATTGTGGAGCGAACTTAACCTCGCAAACCAGGCTCTCTACTTCCGCTTCCCTCCCAAACACGCTCCAGCAAAGATCCTTGTGCAGGCCAGGGGTCACGTGACACCACAAGTCACTTTATCGCGTGGGAGAGTAGGCTGAAATATGAAAGCAAAGTCGAGTTTCTAGGAGTGTTTATTTCGAATATCGGATTGATGAAAATGTATGATTTACTTTAGTTGTTTAAACCAAGAGCGATAGCCTATAAAAACAAACCACTTTGATGACTGATTCCGCGGCTTTAAAACAAATCCTAAATTTACCGCTTTTAGTTTTATTTGTATCAAACTAAAACTACATAATTAATGTAATTCTCGGGCGAATCAATGACAAACAGCACGCTAATTCGAATGGATACAATCAATGACATTATGTAACTGGCCAGACAAGTAACAACGCAAACAGACATGAATTATTAAACGTAAATTTACCTTTTATAATTATAGCCTACACGGTGTCTCAAAAAACAGTAACCCTTTGAAATCAAGTCTTTGTTAGAATTTGAATGCCTTATTACTATGCTGAACCCACGGCCGGGCCACGGGTGTGTAAAAAAGTATACCTAGTCTTCTTTAGCACAATTAAGACTTTATAAAGTTGAGTAATTCAGGTTAAGTACAAGATTTTCTACTCCTGGGCATGTAAAATAGCTTCTGATCGTTTACTGTCGTTCCAATTGAAGTGTTGCTCAAATATTGATTCAATACATTACCTCTGGCTGACCAATTCATTTGATCAAGTTCCTTGAGATATTCATACACTTCCTGTGAAAGAGCTAATTCCAAGTATTTGATTATTTCTGGTCACTTCCTTTCTATTTATGATTGGTTAGTTGCGCAAACAACAAAAGTGATTGGTGCATTCAAACTATTCAACAGGAAGTTTACAATTATACTAGGAAGTGTATGAATATCTCGAGGAACTTGATGAAATGAATTGGTCAGCCCGAGGTCCCTATATCTATTCTGTGCCGAGGTAATGTATTGAATCAATATTTGAACAACACTTCAATTGGAACGACAGTTATTAAAGAGCGTAACTGCATTTAGTTCATGTTATGTGCGGATATCTATTGTTCTCAATAGGGTTTTATTTGGGTAAGAATCTAAAAGCAAGGGGAGGGATTTGATATCTCCACAGGGAAAAGCGGGGTTGATGAATAGAATCGAATGCCTAATTAAAAATGCAAAGTATCTGTAATGTTTCCTATTATGCTATAGTAACCACTCAGAATGCCACTAGGTATAATACTAACTTTATTTATGATTCGACCTGGTAATTATATAAATCAGATGTTACGTAATAAGTGTTATACGATATTGTTGATTGGTTGTTGGTCCATGTCATGACATCCCCCTTCTTTGGAATAAACAATCCTGCGTTAAAAGTCAATTAATCAATTTCATTAATTCTTAATCACTAGTAATCAATAAAAATGTATGTGTATATAACGGTTCAGTCAAACCCATAACGACTGGGTTGTGCAATTGTTTTTCCTAGGCTGGAACGCGTAACTGGTTTGTTTTCAGTCGCGCTGGTCTGTGGGGTTTCATCATCGTTCCGACTGTCACGCTGGCACTTTTCCAAATCTCTCCGGTTTCTTCTGTATTCTCCTCCTGATTCACTTGTGATTGTATAGGATCGTGGTTCTTCGTTAACTCTCGTAACTGTGGCAGGTAACCATACTTTCTTGTCTTCGTCACGCATTTTCACGTTATCACCTTGTTTTAACGGCTCAAGAGGTTTTGCGTTTCGATCATAGTACAGTTTCTGTTTCTGTTGCCTCTCTTGTAGGGCTGGTTTGATCTTTGCAGTGTCGAACTTTGGTACTAGGAGCGCTTTATGCGATGGAAGACGAGTTCTCGTTCGTCTACCCATGAGCATTTGGACTGGAGATAGGCCAATCCCATCTATTGGTGTGTTACGTAGAGCTAGAATAGCTAGGTTAGGGTCGCTGTTGCCCTCTTTCGCTTTCACAAAGATGCTCTTAACCGTTTGGACTGTCCGTTCCGCGAGGCCATTGGATTGTGGGTACTTTGGCGTGGACGTTGTGTGCTTAAACTCGTATTTATCGGCGAATTCTTTGAACTCCTTACAGCTGAATTGTGGCCCGTTGTCGGATATCACTTCCTCGGGTATTCCATAGCGTGCGAAGTGGGGTTTTATGTGGCGTATGGTTCCTGATGCTGTAACGCTCGTTAGCTTCGATACCTCGAAAAATTTGGAGTAATAGTCCGTTATGACAATGTACGTATCTTTGCCGAATTGGAATAAGTCCATACTGACTTTTTGCCACGGTCTGTCTGGGATTTCGTGTCCTCTCATTGGCTCTTTCTGTTGCTTGTTTCGGTATTTTGTGCACGTCTCGCATCTGGACACCATTTGTGCGATCTGGTCGTTCATTCCTGGCCAATATAGAATGTCTCGAGCTCTGCGTTTGCACTTTTCAATTCCCAAATGATTCTCGTGGATCTTTGTGAGCATTACAGTTCTTAGCGTTCTTGGTACGATTAGTCGCTCTCCTCTAAGAAGTAGTCCCTCTTCTTCGCTGATCTCGTCTCTTACCGACCAAAATTGGTGGATTTCAGGATCTACTGAGTGCTTATTTTCTGGCCATCCTCGCTTCGTTTGTTGCAACAGTTTTTGAAGGACCGTGTCTTTGTTGGTCTCGACCTTGAATTCCTCAATCCTTTCTGTTGACACGGGCAAGTTCTGGATCGTATGTACGTAGCTAGTCTCTTGTTCAGGTTCCGTTTGGGTTCCTGGGGCCCTGCTCAGCGTGTCGGCGATGTATAGCGTTCTTCCGGGCTTGTAGTAGACAGACAGGTCGTACTGTTGAAGACTCAGCATCATTCTCTGCAGTCGTGGCGGCGACGCTATCAATGGTTTCTTGAAGAGAT